GATTTCTCCTACTTCTTCTTCATCTCGATTAAACCACAACTTGTACGCCGACTTCACAGTGTATTCTCCCGTTTTTTCAAGGCCCCAGACCCTTTCATCTCTAGTTAGTTCCGCAGGGATAGGAATCCTCAATATATTCCTCTGATCCTCAGGCTGGAAGTGCTCCCGAATCAGCTCTAGATTCCAACTGTTTGTCTCAAAATCAATAAGTTCTGCCACAGAAGTTGTGTCTCCAATGGGAGTCATAGGGGTTTGTATTTTGTAACCTTTTGCTGCTGGTATCCATTTGTCTAGCCAGATATCGATACTACTCCCGTTCCCTAGCCTCCATCTGTAGCCTTTAGCCACTAATTTCCTCGAGCTCAGCAGACTTCTCCATAAGAAACTCGAGTTGCTCCCCACTTCCGCCTCCATCACATCTCTGTTCGGGAAATACTTTGCTTTAAGTACTCTTGCAACCAGTGAGTGTGGTCTTGAGATGATTCTCCAGATTTGTTTACCCAGCATGGCCTGATTAAAACCAGCTGCATCCTTGAAACCCAAACCTCCATATTTCTTTGGTTTGCATAACTCCTCCCATCTAAGCCAATGGGTGCGCCCTTCCTCCTCTTGTTGGCCCCACCAGAAATTAGCAATGATGCTCTGTATTTCTTTCAAAGTTCCAACAGGGACCTGGAAAAGTGACATAACATAGGTCATTTGAGCCTGAGCAACAGATTTTATGAGAATTTCCTTTCCTCCCACTGAGAGCAGTTTGCTCTTCCAGTGTTTAACTTTCTGTCTAACTCGATCCACCAAGTAACTAAAGACAGCTCTCTTTTCTCGCCCAATTCTGGTAGGAAGGCCTAAGTACTTCTCATGGGATTCCACCACTTTCATTCCCATAATGGCAGCTAGTTGAGTCCTCGTCTCCTCCTTTATGTTTGGACTGAAAGACAGTTCCGATTTCCCAAGGTTCACTTGCTGTCCAGATTCCGCCTCATAGAGGTTTAGAATATGTTTCAACTTCTCACACTCGTTCTTAGTGGCCTTCGTAAATAGGATGCTGTCATCAGCAAAGAGGAGATGGGAGATCACTGGGGCCCCTCTCTTCACTTTGATCCCACTGATCTGTTTCTCCCTTTCTGCTTTTGTGATTAATCCGGAAAGTCCCTCTGCCACCAGGAGGAACAAATAAGGGGAAATAGGGTCCCCCTGTCGCAAGCCCCGCGAGGGAAAGAAAACTTCCGATGGGTGGCCATTCACAAGGATTGAGAATGATACTGTCGAGACACAACTCATAATTAGGTCAATCCATCGCCTTTCAAAACCTAGCTTCTCCATTATTGCTTCCAAAAAATCCCATTCCACCCTATCATACGCTTTGGTGATATCCAATTTGGCAGCCATATAACCTGCCTTACCCTGCCTTTTCTGAGACATCGTATGAAACGATTCAAAAGCGATAATCACATTATCTGTAATTAGCCTCCCTGGAACAAACGCACTCTGATTTTCCACAATTATTTCATCGAGGATCCATTTGAGTCTATTAGCCAACACCTTAGACAGAATCTTATAGAGTACCTTGCACAGGCTGATAGGTCTGAACTCCGCAGGACTCTTTGGGGCTTTTTTCTTCGGTATGAGAGCTAAAAGGGTGTGATTTAGGGCCTGTGGAAATGTGCCGGCTTCTAAGAATCCCTGTAGCTCTCTAGTTATGTCATCCCCCAATATATCCCAGTTCTTCTGAAAGAAGAGTGCTGGAAGTCCGTCAGCTCCGGGTGCCTTGAGCGGGCCCATTTGTTTTAAAGCCTCCCAGATTTCCTCCCTCGTAAATGGTTTCAACAATTCTTCATTCATCTCACTCGAAACCTTTCTAGGAACTGCATCCAGAACGATGTTACTCAAGGCCCTGCCTCCTGTTCTGAATAATGCTTTATAGAAATCCACCAGACACTTAGTTACTTGTTCTTGCCCTTTAAATTGAGTGCCACTCTCCCCAATCAATTTCTTGATTGTATTTCTCTGTCTTCTCTCTGTGGCTCGTCTATGAAAGTATTTTGTGTTTTTCTCCCCTTCTCGGAGCCAATCTGATCTGGATCTTTGCTTCCATCGGATTTCTTCCACCTCTAGGATCTCCTCTAGCTCTTTTTCTAGACCCTGACGTTGAGCGACTAAGCTCGTAGTCATTGCCAGCCTCTCTATCTTGGCAAGGTCCTTTATAATTTTCCTCTTTCTGGCCTTTTGACTCCCGAAAACAGCTTCACTCCACTGCTTCAGTTTTGATCCGCATTCACTTACCCTTTCCAGCAGACTATGGTGCGAGCCCTCCTCCCATCCTTCCTTTATTATAGCTTTGATATCTTGGTGTTGTTGCCAGAAAGCTTCGAACCGAAAATTTCTTCCCCAAGTAATCTCCTCTTCTTCCTCCAACTCTGTAAAGAGTACTATGGGATTGTGATCCGACCCACATCTTCGAACGTGGTTGACTCTGGCGTTAGGAAACAGATGTTTCCAGGAGTTGTTTGCCACCATTCTGTCTAGCCTTTCTTCTAGATAGGTATCGTCCTTGTGATTATTGTCCCATGTGTATTTTCTGCCGTAGTATCCCAAATCTTCAAGACCACAGAATCCTAGGGCTCGGTTGAAGGCTTCCATTTCTTCCACAACTGCCAGATGCTTCCCATTTTTCTCCTCGTAACTTTGTATCAGGTTGAAGTCTCCCATAACTAACCATGGCAAATCAGTTAAACCGTGAAGACTCTCTAGCAGATTGCATGTTTTAATTTTGTTTTTCTGCTCTGGCCATCCATAAATGCCAGTTAGTCTCCACTGTTGTCCCTGATCTTCCACCAGTAGATCAATATGGTTGTTTGAATACCCTTTCACCTCTACTTTAACATCCTCGTGCCACATGACAAGTAAACCACCTGCCCTTCTATCAGAACCCACGCCAAATCCATTCTTCCAGCCAATTTTTTGCAACACAGTTCTCCATTCATGGTTTTGTTTCTTAGTTTCCATTAGAAACACCACCTGGGGGTTTTGTCTCTGGAGTAGAGACCGAACCTTTCTAATTGCCAAGGGATTCCCCAACCCTCGGCAATTATAACTCAGGCAAATCATTGGGCTGGGCGGTCCTGCGTCTCAGCAGGATCCGCCACATCGCCATCCCTTTTTGAATTGTTTACAGCTGCCTCCTCATTCTCTCCTTCTTGAAACATCAGCACCTTTGGTCTTTTCGAGGTTTTGTCTGCCATACCTCCCTCTATCTCTTCTGCCTGTTGTTTGTCTGCCTGGCGTTTCTGTGGAGTGAGTTGTATTCCACCAGCAGGCCTAGGTATCGCTTGCTCTTGTCTTTTCCAAACACGAGCAGGGTGTCTTCCACGTTGTAAGACTGCTGAGCTGCCCAGCATGAATTTGGTCAAAGCTCCACTCTGCTTGACTCCAACTTTGTTTTCCGTCCGAATCCATTGATTGGGTTTCAAGGTATGTTGGTTGTGGGGCGTATCAACCCCCTCTCCAGTCTGTTCTTGATCCTTCAGCTGCTGTTCCTGTATATTAGGAGTCATATCCTCTTCTTTTCGTCCTTGCTCCTTAGGATCCTCTTCCATCATTTTGGTCTCTTCTGCTTCCAGAATCATATCATGATCCGAATTGGATCCAATACTTTCCATCTCCAGCTTCTTTCGTAAAGCCGCCCACACTTCCGCATTCTCTTTCTTGGCTGAATAGGATAACCAGTTCTTCTGTCCTTGTTCTGCCACTCTCAGCTCATATCCGAAGGGATCAACCTCCGGTTTTGGTTGCATCGTGCATCTGAGTTTAGGATGCCCGATTCTCCCGCACGAATAGCAGAATAGCGGGAGCTTCTCGTATTTTACTGGGTATTCCATCAGTTTGCCCTGGATATTCAGCTTAATCTTCTTTTTCAGTGGTTTTTTAATAGATAGATACACTCTGAGACGCATATAGTCATCCCACATGTTACCTGCCCCATTATCAAACCAGTCCAGTCCCTCAAATCTGGAAGCGATCTTCTCCGCCATTTTTTGAGTTCTCAACTCCGCTGGAAGTCCTTCAATTCGGACCCAGAGATCAACTACGTGCAGGTCCTCTGGGTTTGGCTTCTGAATTTGTCCGCTGACCATAAAGATGATTAGGTTGTTTTCGTAGTGCCAGGGGCCCCCAAAACACACCTTATTCCTGTCATCCATCTCCAGGAATTGAAAAGCAAAAAGCATGTCGCCCAATTCTGTGATTTGGAAACCCTTGCGTAGTTTCCACGCTTTTGATAGAGCAATTTTCATTGACTTAATGTTTGGTTCCTTTTCAGAGACCAGGCGACCTATCAGGCCCAACCGACGCACAGCTTCCATCCTGATGACATCGACATCAGAATCTTCAACTTCCAAGGGTTCTTCATCGTCTTCTTCAAGATTGATCTGGTCCAGTTGCTTCTCCAGCTCAACCGTTATATTTTGCTCATGGGTTCTGTCTTTGCTTGTCGCAGTATCATCTGTTGCCTTCTCCTTGCTCGCCATTGTGAATCACTTTGTACCGCGCTTTCTTTCAGTAGATGTACCTAGCTTAACACCTAGATTCCACCCAGCAAAAGTTTGTGCGCAGTTCTTTGTGCTTGTCACCGCTATTAATAGATCTCGATCTCCTTCGTGAGAATATCAGTCCTTCTTAACCTAGTATTTCCTTGATCAACGAGGAATCCAACTCCGGAATAGACTCAAAAAAACCTAGTTGAATCGGAAAACCCTAGGGTTTCCGCCGCTCTCAACTCTCGCTAAACGAGAGACGTGGCACCCGACTCCATACCTATTATAGCTTATATGTTATTTTTTCGCGTACCAACTCAGCTCCGACCCTAAACCAGACCAGGAGGAGATGCTCACTTGTGTTGGTTGGCTCGGTTTCGGTTCGACCATTTGAGCAACATCGATCTGTCTAAAGAAATTTAGCCGTTAGGAAGCCATTGTGTTGATAACACGTTAACCTAGTGGTGTCTTAAATCGACTTGAAAAATAAAAATCGAAAGTTTCTCCGTTCTCCCCCCCAAAAGCACAATCGAATCGAATTCGAATCTGCCCCTACCACCTAGGTCGCTTCTGTCGTTCCCTTCTCGTTTCTTTCGCCTTCGGGGACTAAGACGATGGCGAGAACCAAGCATCAAGCTGCTCGGAGTCAATCTCGGAAGCAACCCGGTTTGAGTTTTTGCACAACGCCGTTCTTCAAGTTTTCCTGCTTCCATAGCCACTTTTTTCTCCATCTGCCGCCCAAGTGTTTGCGTTTAAGCTTCAGTGAGACATAGAGACGGCGAATTTTTTTTTTTTTTTTTAAGTTCTGCCTCTTCCGTTTCGTTTGACTGCAGGAAAGAAGATTCCGCGGCCGTCCTCCTCGCCGCCGCCGTCGTCGGTACCCTCTCTTTCCCTCTGTGATATATTTCTGGTGTTTGTTTTGAATGGGGTTAGATTGTCTGTTTGGTTGCGTAGAAAATGCGAGAAAGCTGGAAAGGGGTGAACCCATTAGGTTTCACTCCTCGATTCCAGTACTTGGGGAAAAGCATTTTAGTTTAGACACTCGGATTTCAGTTAGACTCTCGAGTAGTTGCAGGAACCCTAATTTGGTTTTCTAATGTTGCACGTCAAATCGATTGATTTCCAGTCTTCTTTCCTGTCCAATTTAAGACTCCCAGACCAAGCAGATCACCTAGGAGAGCAGCAGCAGCAGCAGGAGGAGAAGAAGCAGGTTCACAAAGTTGGTGGTTTCTTTTTTCTTTTCCCCACCTCAGATTTGCCTGTTCGTTTATTGTGGGTGTTTCATCTTGCATTTCCATTTTGTTTGTTGAAGGTCGTCCGCAGAGGAAGCCTCGTCGATTGAGGCCTGGAACGCGAGCTCTGCGAGAAATTCGTTTTTATCAGAAGACTACTGGTTTCGTGATCCCTGTTTCTAACTTTACTCGACTGGTAATCCGTAATCCAACTAGTTTGTCTCTGGGTCTCATGTATACTTGCTCAACTTGGCTGACCATAGGATCTCACCAATGAGTATTCGCTATCTTTCCTTAAGCCTGTTGGTTCTACATGGAAAGCTCCCGGAAGCTGCTTTTAGAGGATTCTTTGACGTAGTTTGTGTCTCAAGTGGGGAGAGCTCTTTCAAATTTATGGCGAATACCTATGTTCATACTTGTTGATAGTAACACAGATGAAGTTTTTATAGATGATTTTATCAAAGTGTGCAATTGCAGAATTCGAGTTTATTGTTGTTTGTGGCCCTTACCGTCATTTTTCTGACTAGGTAAGACAAGTTACCCAAGAGTTTAGCCAGGAAGTAAACCGTTGGCAAGCTGAAGGACTCGTGGCTCTTCAAGAGGTACCATGACCACTTATTACATTGTTCTCAAGTGCTTCTCCATGCAAGTTAAAAAAACAGCCTAGGGACGTTTCAAGCTCCACTGTAGCTGGGTTACGTTCTCTTTTACTCATCGCAGCTTATGACTTGAACTTCTTGACAAATTACTTGAACCCTGAGTCTATTATTTGAACTGCTTTGTTCCATAGGCAGCAGAGGATTTCTTGGTTCACTTGTTTGAAGATGGTATGCTGTGTGCAGTTCATGCTAAACGTGTTACATTGAGTAAGTTTATCTCAACCCCTATTGTAGTTGTATTTTTCTTGGATTCTCTGATCATCCGTGTGTATTTAAAGGTGATTAGCTTTATTTCAAACTTGGTTGGTACCTTCCAGCCGGTTAGTGATGATGTCTCCCCTGTTAGCTACCATCATGCCATGTCTGAAATGATAGTGGCGACGATTCTCCGGTGACAGTAGGTTTCTTTTTGAGTCGGATGTAGCCAAGTGGATCCAGCTCATTTTAGAATTTACCCATAGTAGTACACAATGCCAGGGAGGATTCATTCATAGAGTATATCTTACCCACTGACGGCTACTTACTCTCTTTATCCCGAGTCTTGACCTTGTTCGTTAACTTATTACTTATCTTCTTGCTGATACCCTATCTGATGCTTCAGTGAAGAAGGATCTCGATTTGGCCCGCCGGATTGGAGGGAGAGGGCAGCCTTGGTGAGCGAGACTTGACGACTTTTGAAGAACCCAGTACAGCCAAAGCTTTGTAATGCTCCGTAGCTGGGTGGGTTATTCTCTTCAACCATGCCCAGAACTCTTAGGATTTTATGTGTAACGCTGAGTTCAGCCGTTAGGAAGCCGTAGTGTAGATTGTATGTCAACTTAGTAGGTGGCTAAGAGTCAATTGTGAAGGTGTCATGCTGACAAGTTAAGTTAGGACTCAAGATTTCTGTTAATGGCTCTGCTTAATTAGGTTGCAAGGGAGTGCACAAAATAGCCAATTGATTTGACATTGAGTTGTATTAAAGAGTTTGACGAGACACTTCCTTATTCGCCTGTATTGAAGTATATTGAATAGTTTCAGATTCTTTGGAAATGCAGTGCAATTGATAGCTAGTATTCCTTTTCTATTTTCAATTTATGGGTGCGATTCGAAGTATTTGTAAATTGGTAACATGTTATAATTTGAGATTTCTTTGCAAAAAGGGTTAATTGGATGGTTGGTCACTAAGATTACAAAAAACGTTCAAGTTTGGTCACTCGAAATATTTAAATCCATTGGTGGTACTTCAGTTTACTGAAACCGTTTACGTTTGGTCACTCTCCGTCCAACTCCGTTAACTTTAGCGGATGTGATAGTCAACTCTCAAAGTTGACCGTTAAATTAGTGACGTGGCAATTAAGAAATAATAAATAAAATAAAATATATTTTATTTTAATGCCAACTCATTTTTACTCTAAAATAACTTTTATCCGAGAAGGGTTCAATCAATCTTTTATCCGAATTCTGGGCTCCTGAACCTCACTAATGGCCTGAACAAAGGGCGGCGGTGACAAGGGCTTCGACGCTGCGATTTCTTAAACAAGTAGCAGAGCAACAATCCCTAAAAAGCTTGCTTAATAAGAGGGGGAAAAAAAAGGAAATCTATCAATGTAATGAATGTCTATATAAAAGAATCATAGACACTAAAGAACGTAATCAAAACCATGAACTGCAATTTGATTCAACTTTCACACCAGCTGTCACCTAATGTCGAATCAATGATTCGGCTATTGTAACTGAATTTCCAAATCTTACTGAACAATTGAATCGCCATCCAAAGTCACAAATGATTAAACAACATTAACAAAAGCTCCTATTTTTACCCCCAATGAATGTGCGATCGGATTATTCAAAAAAAAAAAAAAAAATTGTGCGATCGGAGATAGCGGAATCCAACCCTAGAATCGAAGCTACATCGATAATCTGCATGTACGCTCTCCAATTGTCAACCACAGTGGACGAGGATGCAGGCGGAAGAGGCGGTGGCGGGGCGACGGAGGAGGAGCCGGTCGTCAATTCGAGGACCCGCTCGAGCTCGGCGAGGTGGCCGGAGAAGGAGAGAGAAGAGCAAAGGGAGATCGAGACGGGCTCGAGAGACCAGGTGGAGAATGTTAAGACTATTAGGGACGAGGGTACACGTACGATAGCCCGAGACCGGGTGACTAGGATTATGATAGAGTCGTGAACAACGTTCACTTTCCGTAAAGAATATTTCCACCCTCAACAAGCCTAGGGTTACAGGAAATTTCTTCGTAGGATAAAACTATCATCACTTTAGGTTCCAGGCTTAAGTACCTAAAGCATACTTAGAAGTTTAATAGGAAGAAGAATCTGTTTTTGGTGTGTCTTTTTCTCTCATCCGACCACCTCTATTTATAGAGTCCAAACGGATATATAATGCTTAGGAACGAAGCATTGCTTTGCTTCATATCAAACGTTGCAATTATTTGATAAGAATATGGATAAACTTTGCTCCATAACTGCCATTATCCATGCAACGTGTCTCTGGTAATTCAAGTTGCAATTCCAAGCATTGCATTGTTTCATGCAAATGGAATTGGAGGGACGTGTTGCTTTAATAAAAATAAAAAAACTGTAATTACTAAACAGGCAACACAACCGGTGCATTAGTGGTTCAACCATTTTCATGGAACCGGACCAAATTCCAACAATCCTCCCCCATTTTAGTGTATTCTACGAATTCACTAAAATCACAACGTTCTTCCAACAAAACTTAAGCATAAATGAAAATATCGTGGCGATTGAATTTTCACCTTAGTATATTACACTTGACGAATACTCGAATACAAAGGGTGTCGGTAACGATTGAACCCATTGACTCATATGAATATTCGAAGATAATATACACTTAAGTTTTCAAAACTTCTAAGCGCCTTGACACTATTACCCGCCATGTGTCCAATCCTTCTCATAAGCGCACACGAAACCAAAGTCCGGGTTTCTTAAAGCGGCTACACTTCATGCTTACGTAGGTTGAATCTCTTATTCGTGTACCCGCATAATACACTTTTTCAAAGATTCAATTAAGAAGTTTGAACTTCATCCTCTTCTCTCATGCAGGATAACAAGCACATACCTCGGGATGACAAATTGTGTGCTTAAATTTCTGATAATAAGCTTTCCCCATTGAATTCAGCCTCTAACGTTGTATTAGAGGGGAATTGGGTGTCCCATTAACAGAAATTATATGGACTTTAACCCATCCCTTTCACAGACTTGATCACCAAGTCACTAGTTAACCACTTCGTCAAATGATCAACCAAATTATTTCAAGTCTGGTCATACTGTCTAGACACAACTCTATGAATGATCAGTTCACAGATTTTACCGTGCCTCACTCCTAAATGACCGTACTTGTCATTTTCACTTGACTATATGTCTTAGCCAAATTAGCATTACTATCACAAAAGATAGTAATAGGTGAGATTGGTTTAGGCCATAAATATATGTCATAAACCAAACCTCTCAACAATTATGTCTCTTCTCTAAGAGAAACCAAGACCACACAAACTTTGATTCCATAGTGAAACTTAGTTATGAAAGTTTGCTTTCTATAGGCCAAAATATGGCACCTCTCCCAAGCAAGAGGACTCATCTCAATGTTGAAGTAATCACCTTTAACACGAGAAATCCAACTAACATCAATAAATCCTTCCAAAATTTATAGAAAGCCACTATAACTCAATACAGTGTGCCTTTGACATATCTTAGTACATACCTCACTTCATTTCAAATGATGAGCACTATGATTCATCATGTACCGATATCTAGCATATGCGCCACTATAACTCAATACAGTGTGCCTTTGACATATCTTAGTACATACCTCACTTCATTTCAAATGATGAGCACTATGATTCATCATGTACCGATATCTAGCATATGCGATATTTAGCATCATGCAAGTCATGCATACATTGAGCCCCCAATTTGACATGGAATACTCCAGTTGTAAAATTGATTTCCAGTATTAACCATAAGTTCCATACTTGGATCCATTGGGGTCTTTAACTCACTACAATTCCTACTATGGAATTTATGCAAGTACCTTCTCATGCAGAAAAATTGAGAGAAGAACTTTTTCTTGTCGTTCTGCTTGATTCAATATACAGAATCACATTTTTCTCCCCCATGTCCTTCATGGAGAATTGAAATAGCAACTTTTTATCAAAGTTCACTTATCTTTTATTGGTTCCAAAGATAAGCATGTCTTATACATACAAATGTACGATGACTTCATTACCAGAATCATCATAAATTGTATACACATTTGTCTCTTTGATTTAAAATAACATAAACCACTTGACAAAATCACTTATCTCTGATTGGTCCTAAAGATAAATATGTCATCTACATACAAACACAACGACTCTATTACCAGAATCATCAAACATTGTATATACAATTTTGTCTCCTTGGTTTAAAATAACATAAACCACTAGACAAAAAATCACACCACCAAACCACTAGACAAATCCAAATTTATCTAGATCTTCACAAATGTCGAATAGAGAATTTTACTAATTAACCCTTGAGTATGTGACCTACACAAAGGCAATTGTCATTCTTCTATTTCTCCATTTTATGAATCATTCTCCTTCTTCCTCGTCTTCGAATCACCCTCTTCCAAGTTACCTTCCTGGTATGGAACACACCATGAGGCTAGTACGAAGAAAAACCATCTTCTACTTCCATCGATGAAATACCCATCATCGAAAATTCTCATGATTCCATCGACCGGAACCGGGTTCTTGTAAAGAGCGGTTCGAGCCATCGTACCGAAAATTATTCTTTACGATTGTTGGGACTATTAGGGACGAGGGTACACGTACGATAGCCCGAGACCGGGTGACTAGGATTATGATAGAGTCGTGAACAACGTTCACTTTCCGTAAAGAATATTTCCACCCTCAACAAGCCTAGGGTTACAGGAAATTTCTTCATAGGATAAAACTATCACCACTTTAGGTTCCAGGCTTAAGTACCTAAAGCATACTTAGAAGTTTAATAGGAAGAAGAATCTGTTTTTGGTGTGTCTTTTTCTCTCATCCGACCACCTCTATTTATAGAGTCCAAACGGATATAATGCTTAGGAACGAAGCATTGCTTTGCTTCATATCAAACGTTGCAATTATTTGATAAGAATATGGATAAACTTTGCTCCATAACTGCCATTATCCATGCAACGTGTCTCTGGGAATTCAAGTTGCAATTCCAAGCATTGCATTGTTTCATGCAAATGGAATTGGAGGGACGTGTTGCTTTAATAAAAATAAAAAAACTGTAATTACTAAACAGGCAACACAACCGGTGCATTAGTGGTTCAACCATTTTCATGGAACCGGACCAAATTCCAACAGAGAAGGCGGTGATGAATCCCGTCGGCTCGAACGGATCCTCTTCGGCTTCTCCTATTTCATCCCCTCGCTCCGCCGCCGTCGCCGCCTGGTAGTCGAGGGAGGGAAGGTCGGAGGTGACGAGGCAGAGAGGATTTTCTTGAGGTCAACCGTGGAAGAGATGGTGCGGTTAAAACTGACGCTCTTCCACTACGCGGCCGCATGGTTGGTCACTGAGATTACAAAAAATGTTCAAGTTTGGTCACTCGAAATATTTAAATCCATTGGTGGTACTTCAGTTGACTGAAATCATTCATGTTTGGTCACTCTCCGTAGGGGTGGGCATTCGGTCGGTTCGGTTTAAACCGAACCGAACCAGGACATGCCGAATTTCCGATTTAGCCAGCACCCCAACCGAATTCGAACCGAGCTATAATTCGGTTCGGTACATCCGAACCGAATTATAGCTCGGTTCGGTTCGGTTTTAAGACCATAACCGAGATTATATATAAGGCGACTCTCTCTCTCCTGCTTATCTTATCTTCTCTTCTCGTTTCCCTTTTCTCCTCAGAATAATCAGAGCCTCAAATTTTCTCCTCCGTCTCCGAGCCTCTTTCCCATCCCACCACCTCGATTTTCCTTCTTCTTCTTCGCTTTCTCCTCTCAGAAAAGGGTCTTCAGTTCCCCTCCTCAGACCCTCACGACCTATTCTTTCTCCCTCTGATGCATGTGGTATTTATGGTTGGACTTGGGTTTCTGATCTCAGGGAGGAACGAAGGATGGTGATGGAGATGGACAACGGGAGGGGAGGGTGAAGGCGGCAGAGGCCACCAACGACACATGCATGGCCACGATCAGCAGGAGCAGATCCGGATCTCTCCTCCTGGGTAAGTTTGATTCAACATTTTTCGTCTTTTTGTTTGATTTGATTTTTTTCTAGGCTTGCTAATCTGAGCTTTTGATTTTTGTTGATTTTGTGGGTTTAAACTTTAAATGGAGGGCGAGGACAAGTGAATGAAGAGAATGGAAAGGAGAAGAATCCAGGAGCAGCGAGCAAGAGGTTGAAATGAGAGGTGACGGAGCAAGAGGGTAGGACCGTAGGAGAGCGGCGGCCGTAGGAGAGCTTTCCTACTGCATGTTTCTTTCTTTATTTTACTAGGGTTAGCAAAGAGTGTGGGTTGTGTGTGGGTGAGATGTTTGGGCCGAGGCCCAGTTGAGGTGAGGCTATAAGACATGAGGGTGAGGTCTGATATGTGGGTGGTTTGGTTGTGAAATCGGTTGTTCGGTTCGGTGATCGGAATTCGGTTTCGGTCGAGAGGAACCTGGTTTCCGAAGTATACCTATTCTTCTTCCGAATTCCGAACCGAACAACAATATTTCGGTTTCGGTTCGGTCTGAATTCGGTTCGGTCGGGTTCGGTTCGGGTTTACCGAACCGGTTGCCCACCCCTAACTCTCCGTCCAACTCCGTTAACTTTGGCTGATGTGGCAGTCAACTCTCAAAGTTGACCGTTAACTTAGTGACGTGACAATTAAAAAATAATAAATAAAATAAAAATTAATCTATTTTAATGTCCAAATCATTTTTACCATAATAAATAAAATAAAATAAATAATTATTATAATTATGCTATGTGGTGGGGCTGTGGGTATTTGAGATTCTGCGGAGAGTGGAGGATAAGTGGGTTAATGGATGCAGAGAGAGGGATTTAGGGATTTGGGGTTTGTTGGGTGAGATAGAAGCCGTTAGAGGGAAGAAGGGATGTGGGGTTTGTTGGGTGTGACGGTACCAGCGAGAGGGAAGAAGTGGGGTTGTGGCTGAGTTCCGATGATAAGGGAGCCACAACAGTGTGGGTGGCGTGCAAAAGGGAGAAGCAGGTAAGGGCAAAGTCGATGATTTCAAGGCAGATGGGATAGGACAAAGTAGAGGTCAGAGGGATGCAACGAAAGCTTGAGTTGAAGAGGATGACCTTCTGTCCAACGGGTAAAAGTGAATTCTAGCGATTCTTCGCCATCGAGTTGGATAATTATCAAATTGAAAGGGGATGCGGCAGCGGCCGGCTCGTAGCAGGAGGTGGTGGTGGAGATTCGGTGAAGGAGGAAGGGTCGGATCTGGAGACGGCAGGGGAGGAGGAGGATTTGATTCGGGGTGAGGGATCCGGGGTTCACAATGATCTTTAAGACCTTATGGCGGATGGAATTGGAGGAGGAAGAGCGGAGAAGAAGTGATTGCGGGGAAGGATGCGGTGTCGGGCGCCTCTTTTAATTTGGTAATTAATAATTATAATATTTTATTTATTTATTTTATGGTAAAAATGAGTTGGACATTAATAATTGTAATATTTTTTTGTTTATTTATTTTATGGTAAAAATGAGTTGGACATTTAGATTAAATTTTATTTTAATTATTATTTCTTAATTGTCATGTGACTAAGTTAACATTCAACTTTGAGAGTTGACTGCCACATCAGCCAAAGTTAACGAAGAGTGACCAACATGAACGATTTCAGTAACTGAAGTACTACCAATGGATTTAGATATTTCGAGTGACCAAACTTGAACGTTTTTTGTAATCTCAGTGACCAACCATGCAATTAACCCAATTAAATTACATCATTTTGATGCAATTAGCATGGTATTTTCAATTTTAATGTTCAACAAATACATCAAATGTGTCAATAAAAAGCAATATATGGAGTTAATTACAACGGGAGTTGCTAATTATCGCCCTACTTTCTATTAAATCGCCCTAACTTGAAATTTAAAATTACATCTTTCTCCTCCTCTCTTTTTATTGTTAAGGAAATATTATCGCCCTACTTTCTATTAACCGCCGTTAATACCCGGCCCTGCCGCTACTGTTACCCCCACCACCAGGGGCGGATACATGGGCCTCTAGGGGTGTCCCGGGACACCTCTAAAATTTGGGGAAACGATTATCCAACCTCCGATAATAGTTTCGTATGGGTATATACAAAATATAATTGGTAATCCGGGACACCCTAACATTTGAAAAAATGATTATCCTACCCTCGATAATAGTTTGCTTATGATTAACAAAATATAAGTGGTAGTCCGTGTTATTCCAACCTAGGACACTACTATTATCAAACATATTCTAATTATGTTGCTACTCATTTGTTATTCTATTTTAAACATCATGCAACAGTAAAACGCTATTTCTTTATCCCCAACTATTTTCAATACCTAATAATTAAACTACGTACACGATACCCTTAATTTTGAATTGATTTTATGGTTACATGGCAAGTGTTGAAAGAGTCTTTTCTACTTCGAGCTACATTAAGAACAAGGTTAGAAATCGAATATGTGATAAGTTCGTGAAGTATTGTCTAGTAGGATATGTAGATTTTTTTTAACAGTGCAGACACGAAGTTTATTTATATTATTTTTTCAAAATATGAAAACACATCATGAATTTTAATAAAAAATTTATACAAGTATGATATTTTTAATATACGAATTATTTAATTAAATTTAATTTTTAAGAAGACACCTCTATGAAAATTTTCTGAATCCACCACTGCCCACCACTACCCACCTCCGACGGCCATGAAACAGGCGAATGTCCTGATGTTTTCTCTTAGGAGAGCGGCATGTAAATGATCATCAACAAACGTGTTGTGAATGCCGGAGCCCCTAAAACTTATGAACACGTCATGATGATGGGTTCCCTGCCGGCGGAGATCGATATTCACCGGCCCGCAACATAATACGAACTTTTCTTAGCAAGATGGCCCCACGTTCCCAAAAGGTTTAATAATTTCATGAGAATTCCTTCACGGAAATAATTAGCACCCTCCTGCTAACTCAAATTTGCTGTCTACTCATGGTAGCGCACTGGATTTTGTGGACTCGAAATGGAACTGGAAAATCGCATTCATTGGGAAAAGACAAGGTGCTTTTTACAAAGCCATTTACGATATTTATACAGTGTACGACTTGCCGACAAGGTAAGAGGATGGATATCTAGACTTGTAATGTAGTTGGCATCGGATGTCTTTGGAGGGCTGGGGTTGCGCCGGCGGAGGTTGTTTAGCCGCTCTAGTTTGACGAACATGAATGAGGATTAGTATTGGCGGTTGTTTTCAGATTTCTTTTTAGTTAACGAAGGATAATTTAGTAATAGCATGTTTAAAATTAGGACGATAATAATAAAGTTAGGGCGATGTTTAGCCATCCAGATTACATACTCTTTCGAATTTCAAGCAATATATGGAGCTAAGCCTTGGGATAAGGATCCGAAAAATTTAATGTCGTTCACTAAATATGAAATAACTCATTATCTTTGATCAAGTACGAATTCTACTAAAGTTGGAAGGAAATTATGGAAAAAATCATTTAATAGTACATTTTTTTAATAAATAGTACATGAGGGTCTTAGACTTCTCTCGATATATACATATATGTATTTAGGACTGCAAAGAAAATAAAAAATGCAAAATTAGCCGAACAACCTAAATGACTAAAATCCCAAAGTGTAAGTAATTTTCCCCGGGGAAACTTCCCTCTCGCAATTGCTTCTTGCGATGGAGTGATCGACAGAGCCGGTTTCGTCGGTCCAAATGGACGCGATTCTAATGCGCTGCGAGGATTGAATTTGTCCAGCGAATCGTTACCCGTTCTCCGGCGTGATGGTTTCCGATCACCATAGCGGAGGAAACTCTTTGGAGTCGGCGGGAGTTCCGGAAACCAGCATTTGGAGGCGAGTTGCTGTTCGCTGGCTGCGTCCATATTCTGCAAATCAGAATGGCCAATGGCGGTTTCAGAAGTCCTTGTGGTATGGATGATATCCGTATAAATTATTGCAGCTTCCGGATACCTTCAGTGATCGAAAACATTCTCAATCGGAGAAAAATGGTGCATGCCAAGTGTTTGAATGAGTTCTATCCGCAAAGAAAGCGCAACGCCATAAGGAGAAGGAAGCTGGAACAGCATAGAGTTGAAAGAAACAGCAATGCAGGGTCACAGCCATCAAATCCCAGATCAAATTTGAGAAAACAAGGTTTTTACTTCTTCCCTGTGGCCTGTAGCTTACCATTCATTTTTGCTACCAAATGTTTCAATTCTGGTTCAATTTCCTTGGCGAGTTTTCTATGAGTAGATTTCCCTTTCAAGTTCTTCTGTTGCTATTGTTGGGCAGAGTTAAATTGCAAAACTAGTTATACACATCATGCTATTCTCAGAACTAGTTAAACGATGATGCCTGTGCCTCTGCTATTCTCAAAACATGGTAACTGTATGAGCAAAGGCGATTGCTTTTAATGAGCTGAGTTTTTAATGTGTTATTGCACTCATAATGATGTTGGAAGTTACGACTATTTTGAAGAGATAGCAACTTCAGTGTAAATTTTATGGCGAGTGGGGCAACCACTCACCAGAAGTCAATGGATCACCTGCTCAGCTGATGAAGGCAGTTTAACTAAAGGTGGGATTCGTTCTTGTATTAGAAAAAATTAGATGATTAAGGACTAGTGTCTCATTCTTAAATCAAGGATTTGAGGGTACCTGTCAGTGCAGTCACATGTGCACGGTTCAGTTGGTTCGCAAGTCAAATGGATTTACATTAGTTAATAGAAAGACGAAAGTTCATGTTGGATCTTTGATCTCAGTGCTGGGTTCATATTATGAATCATCACACATATCACATCTAGATATTGCCCTCTATCTCTATATTCAGATTTCGTTTCCTCCACTGCAAATATCCCATCTCTTTTCTTGTACTAACCAAAAATGGCAGCTGCTCTCGCTGAGTTGGTCCTCCATAAGCTGAGTTCCCTTGCTGCTGATCAGGCAAGCCTCCTTTGGGGTCTCAGAAGCGAGATTCCAAAACTTGCAAGCACGGTTTCCAGCATCCAAGCTGTGTTGCTAGATGCAGATAATCAGGCTGGTAAGAGTCATCAGGTTCAGCTATGGCTGCAAGGACTGGAAGAAGTCCTTTATGATGCTGAAGACCTGCTGGACGATTTCTCTACAGAGGTTCTCCGGAGGAAACAACAAATGGATATCAATGGCGTGGTGAATGAGGTAGGTCTCTTCTTTTCTCCATCCAACCAAGTTGCTTATGGATTGAGAATTGCTAATCAAATTAAGGTGATTCGGAGCAAGTTAGAGGAGGTTGATCAGAATAGGAATCAATTCAATTTCCAGGCACGTCCTGTGGATCCAGTTGCTGCTAACAAGGATTGGAGGCAAACTCACTCTTCTGTCCCTGATGTGGTTATTGGGAGAGAAGGAGATAAGCAGATGATAATAGACATGTTACTATTGTCTGGTAATAAGGAGAAAGTTGTAGTCGTCCCCATTGTTGGAATCGGGGGATTGGGGAAGACAACAGTGGCGCAATTGATTTACAATGACAACAAAATCCAGTCTCATTTTGATTGCACACATTGGGTATGCGTCTCTGAAACTTTTGACCCAAAAGTCATGGTTAAAAATGTTTTGGAGTCCATTACCCAACAAAAGGTGGAAGACCTTGCCTTGAACACGCTCAAGGATCTTCTGCACAAGCACATCAAGAATAAAAGGTTGTTGTTAGTTTTGGATGATGTCTGGAATGAGGATACAGAAAAGTGGGTTCGCTTTATAAATATATTCTCAAGTGGTGCAGCGGAAGGTAGCAGAATTGTAGTGACCACTCGTCTTCGAATTGTTGCAAAGATGACAGCAACTGAGATGATTGTGCCACATGAGTTGCAAGGTCTGTCTGAGCTTGAGTCTTGGTCTTTGTTCGAGAAGATGGCTTTCAAGGGAGGAGTTGCGCCGGGTCCAAGATATATTGAGATAGGGAAAGAGGTCACGAGGAAATGTTGTGGAGTGCCATTAGCTATAAGAACAATGGGGGGTCTTCTATCCTTCAAAGATACCGAGTCTGAGTGGGAGGCAATAAGAGAAAAGCAGTTGTTGAGCCTATATTTCAGTGGACAAGATAGTGAAATTTTGGCTGCTACTCTTAGGTTGAGTTATGATAATTTGCCATCTCAATTAAAGCGTTGTTTTGCCTACTGTAGCTTGTTCCCAAAAGATCATAGGATCGATGTGAAGATGTTGGTACAGGTTTGGATGGCACAAGGGTATATCATCAAGTCCGGTCAATTTTTACTACTTGAAGATGTTGGAGTTGAACATTTTAAGAATCTGTTGTGGAGGTCCTTCTTTCAAGAGGTGACAAAGGACCGATACGGGAATATGAAATATTGTAAGATGCATGATTTAATGCATGACCTTGCTGTCACAGTTGCAGGGATGGATACCATCTGTTTGAATGCTATAAATCTCACGGATAGCCTTCTCAGCAGTGGGGTTGTCAACCTTGAAAGAATTCGGCACCTGTCAATTGATTTTGAGAACAAATGGGAGACTAGAGTATGGAAAATTCCAACTCTCTTGGCGAAAGCAACAAGGCTTCGAACATTTATGATCATAAATGTGGCTGTGGGGGGTGTCAAGTTGGAAGGAAGATGTGAGATCTTCCTGAATATGACTAGGCTGAGAGTGTTTGGTCTTGGAGATGCTAAAATGGAGGTTTTCTCTATTACCTTCAATAAATTGAAACATCTTAGGTACCTTGATCTTTCTAAGAACGGGGTGGAGATACTTCCAAATGAAATTACAAGAATGGTAAACTTGCAAACGCTCAATCTGTGTTTATGTGAACATCTTCGACTATTGCCGGCAGACTTGGGGAAGCTATACAATCTGGTCTTTTTTTACCTAGATGATTGTTCGAGTTTGACTTACTTACCAGCCGGGATCTGCAATCTTTCCTTCCTCAGAGAATTGTCTTTATTCATTCTAACAGAAGCAGCTGCAAAAAACTCCAGATTAGCTGGTCTCGGTGAATTGAAGAGTCTGAACAACCTAAGTGGGAAGTTGACTATTAAAGGCCTAGAATTGGTGAAGGATAAATCCGAAGCAGCTGCAGCTAATTTAAAGGAGAAATCGCAACTTCAACACTTGGAACTATGGTGGAGTGATGACAGTAATAATATGGTGGCTCGAAGATGTGATCACGAGAGGTCAGTATTAGAGGCATTACAACCACATCCAAATTTAAAGGAGTTACAGTTGTGTTATTACGGCGGGACGAGTGTTCCAACAGCAAGCTGCTGGTTCTCTTCTCTCATGAATCTGGTTCGCATCGAGCTATATTGTTGTGGGAAACTGCAAAGTCTGCCATCGCTGGATCCTTTTGTTTCTCTTGAAGAATTGGTGTTGTATAACTTAGAGAGCCTAGCATACGTACAGGGAGAGACAGTATCATCATTACCTTTTTCTTCTCTATCTTCTTCAAACAAGGATTTGCAGTTTCTGCCCTCCCTCAAGTCTCTCAAGATCACGGACTGCCCAAATTTAATCGGCTGGTCTCTTGCAAATATGGAAGAGTCACCTCTGTTACCTTGGGTTTCCACCCTGGAGATCGAAAGCTGCCCGAAAATGGTTACCATCCCACATTTTCTTATCAACTTTAAGAAGGTTGAGTTGATGGATGTGAGCAGTGAGTTGTTGAGTGTGTTTGGTGCCTCTCTGATTTCTCCATCCCTTCCCCCAGCACACCCTCGATTTCATGAGTTGTGTCTCCAATACGTGAATGATCTGCCGCAAGGGTTGATGCCACAACTCACTTCCCTTGAGAGACTAAACATATGGTTTTGTAGCAATTTGACTACTTTGTCTCCATCTATTCTTCGACATCTCCCTTCGCTCAAGGAGCTTCATATTCTATCTTGTGAAGTTTTGGAACTGGAGGACTACGATTATGGTGATGGTAATAAAGGAAATGATGAGAATGACAGCGTGCCACCGCGTTTTCTTCCCAGCCTCCGATGCTTGGTTGTCCAAAGTGTTCCTAAGTTGGTGACTCTACCTAATTGGCTTCAGTTTTCCTCCAATTTGCAGCAGCTGGACATAGACTGGTGTGACAACCTTAAGTGCTTACCAAGTTGGCTTAAAAAGCTCACTGCATTGGAGTCTTTGGGCGTATTTAGATGTGATATTCTATCTAGGAGATGTACAAGCAACACGGCTGAGGACTGGCCCATCATTTCTCACATCCCAAATATCCAAGTTGATTCTAGACATGTTCAAAAGGAAGGCTGCTATTTGGAAATGGAGGAAGAAGAAGAAGAAGCAGAACAAGAACAAGAACATGAAGAAGAAGCATCATCACACACCCATATCTCAAGGTATTTTACTTTAGCTAGTTTGGTTGCAGTTATCCCTTTTCTTTAATTTACCTTGTTCTTTGGATCATCTTTCCTTGTACCTTGGAAGCATATAATTAGACTAATCATAAACTGTTTTTCTTTTTTCTACCTGAACCTGCAGGCTATTTGAAAATTGCTTTGCAAGGATGACTTGCATCCTATTCCAGAGATGTTTTCTCCCTTAGCTACCACACCCTGTAAACCCCTTTACATTGTCACTCCCATCATTTACGTTTCCTCGAACCGATTGATTGAAGAGAGATGCTCATTTATCCATTATCAACAGCTTTGTCCAGGTACTCATTTCTCCTTCATTCTCTAGTCGTTAAGACAATCATTCACTACATATGAAAGGCTCTTTAATTTCCTACAACTCCTTTCTGTTTGATATATGTGAATGGGGTTCTCTCCCCTTCCTCTGCAGTTTTCAAGTTCAAATGGCATTCTTAGCTTATGGTGGTTCTATGATGGGTAAACAGCAACGCCTTTGTCCTTCCTAAGTTTGAAGAAGATCTTGCGCCAGCCATTCGAATTCACTACATGTCTCAGCTCCAAGTCTTGACTAAATTTAGAGATTGAATACTCAGTTGTTCTGTAATGCGATCGATCATATCGCAACCCCTCTAAATTTTGAAGTTCTTGCAACTGTGAGAGACAGAGGTCGAAAGCAGTTGGGGTGCTGTAATTCACTGGTGGAGGGAACATAAACAGGGAAAAGAGTAAGGAAAATGCCAGTTGTTTGGGGAACTGGAAGATGGATTTATTGGGACCAAAGCCTCCTAAAAATATCATACTTCGGCGTGGCTGCCCTGTGTTTAGTCGACGTCTTTTTTTCCATCGTTGGGCCGGGATCATGGTTCTGGGCCGAGTAGGGTTTTGGGTTCTTTTCTCTGGGCTGGTGAATGTTTAGTCCAAAGAATATTAACCAACCGCCAACAGCCATATTTAGTTTAAGAGATTATTAACGGCTAAATTACACGTTTGGTCACTTAAATTATACAAATCTTTCACGTTTGCCACTCGAATTACTTTTCTTTCTTATTCGCCACTAACTTTACGAATCGTTTCACGGTTGGTCACCGGCCGTTACACTCCGTTAAGTTTGTCCTACGTGGCAGTCAACTATAAAGTTTGACCGTTAACTAGATGACGTGGAAATTAAAAAAAATTAAAAAAATAAATTTTTCTTTCCACCTCATCATTGCACTTATTTTGTCCAGGGCCAATTGCAGCAGTTGTTCCACCTCCCTCGTCGTCGGCCTCTCCGCCGCGAATCACGGCAAGGGGAACGGAAGCAACAACCCCCTCCCCTGTTCTCCGATCGTTCTGGTTCTCGAATCTGGCAGCGAGAGAAGCTCTCGTGAAATCGAAACCAATAACAACACCCTCGGAATGACTAATTCCATCGTCAGCGCTTGTTCGCTAGTGGGGTACCAAGGGGACAACGAATCGGGCTCCTGTCACGTCGAAGTTACGCCGCCGGAGGCGGAAACCGGATCTGGGTCGGGGAGACGGCAACCGGACCCGGAGACGGCAACGAGCGGCGCCCATCGAATCCTTCCGGTAGCCATACTTCCTAGTCGCTCTCGGCCCTCCCCAGTGCCCACCTCCCACACGAACGTCGACATGCTCCCTTTCTGATTCCTTTTCGTTGTTGTTGTTGCAGAGAGATAGGGGACCAATGTGCCAAGCTCATCTCCCGATAAAGGCTCTGTAGTAATCGTCTCTGTTGGCGATAACTTTTTAGTTTCGACTCCCTGACCGATTTCACCAATTCCCGAATCCCACTTCCCCCATCCTTCCTCGCTTACTCCGGCAGCTGCTTCCAGGCCAACGAAATTTCTTCGGGTTTCGAGGAGACCCTTCTGTGAGGCTCGTGAAATCCGGGTCGTCTCGCTGGCGGAGATTGAGAAGAAGTCGGCGACATGGAAGACTAGTCTGGGGATTCCGAATCTGCTCGTGGAGTCGATGGACCAGAGGATGGCAATCCGGTCAGGAAGCTTCGAGAAGGTCTCGAGGGCCACTCATTTGGGGATTCCGACTTCTTCCTTGTGGATTATTCTTCTGCACTAATATTAATTTGTGATTCAAAATTTAATCCCAACTTGGGCAGATTCGTGAAGAGTTTGAGAAGACAACCCTTGAAGAAGCCGATGCCGTGGAAGACAGTCGTTCGTGCTAGTCACGGCGTCCGGGCCGGGCGAGAGTCAGGAAGTGATGGAATCCAAGGTCTTTTTGTTTTATTATTTTTTAATATTTATAGTTTTATTTTATTGGCTGCTTTTATATGGTGGGCCTATTCCTTTGCCTGATTTTTGTCTAATTGTTTTTTTAATTTTTTAAAATTGACATGTCATTAAGTTAACGGTCCAGTCAGCAGTTTGGTTTGCCACGTCATCAGAAAACTAACGGAGTTAACGGAGACTAACGGCTGGTGACTAACGGTGAAACGATTCGTAAAGTTAGTGGCGAATCAGAAAGAAAAGTAATTCGAGTGGCAAACGTGAAAGATTTATGTAATTTGAGTGACCAAATGTGTAATTTAGCCGATTATTAACATTTTTTTTTTTTTACCATAAGAGATTATTAACATTAGTATAACTAGTACACCAAATATTACTCTTCAATAATTTTAGACAATCTTATCAAACAAGAAGTATATGCTCATTTGTTTATGGTATCTCTGGAAGGAAAGAAATGCTCATCTGTTTAATGGAGCAAAACTACCCGAAGAGTAGATAGTCGTACGGGCAAAGTACCTACTGACAGACTATAAATCTAATCAGACAAAGAAGATAGAGCAGACTGAATCACGGGTAAGAAAAGGCTGGAAGAAGCCGACCCAAGGAAATATATCAGTTTGCACTGATGCTGCCATTTTGGGCGATGATGGAGCAGGATTGAGAGTGGTGATGCGCGACTCCAATGGCCAGTTCCTTATGGCCGCAGTGAGGAAAATTGTGGGCGGTTGGGACGTGGAGACTGCTGAAGCAATGGCGACTGAGTTCGCCCAAATGCTGCAGAATCCGGGTATGGAGAAGAATGAGGTTGGAGTTTTGTGTCGAAGCATAAGGAGACTATTGAGCAATACAGGAAATGGAAGTTGGCAGCATATTTGCAGAGAAGCCAATGAGGCAGCGCACATTATGGCTCATGCAGGGTCGAGAGGGGAAGAGAGCATAGTTTGGTTTTATAGGCTACCGATTTGTCTTGTTAATCCGCTCCAACTGGATGGTGTAACCGCTTCATCTGATTAATAAAGCAAATAAATCATTATTAATAAAGCAAATACAGATTTATATATAAAAAACAAGAAGTATATGCAGATTTAGGGTTAGAGTTGAAACAATAATCGACTCATTCCATAACTAATTTATCATCAAGGGAAGAGCGGGGGCCAGTTTTAGCATGATTAATTAGCATAAGCACCAGATTAGCCCAAATCATTGGAACACGATAATGAAGATAAATTATAATTAGAACACGAATCATTTTATCCTATGCTTTGTCCTGGGGTTCTGTCTTACTCTAATCCAATAAGATAACGTTAATTACAGTTAACTTCCTCTGTTTCTGATTAGTGGTTGTTGACTTGCTGTCATTGTAGATACATAGGGAAAGGAGATTTCGGGGGTAGCCCGTGTCATATAAATGGGGCGTGCACACTGCACAGTGACATAGTCAGGATTTGATGAGTTTCGACGAATCGAAATTATAGTATATCATCATAAGAAAATTAAAATATTATAAATTTTTAGTATGTTTTATTATTTTAGCATCACAAGACATTGTTCGAGATAGTAAAACATAATTCTAAACTATAATTACTATTATAATATGTTCATAACAAATCAGGAAATTAAAAAAAAACTAATCATGCATTCAATATGTAACACATCATTCAATATTTATAAATGGAAAATGAAGGCCCATTAGTATTTTTGATTAAAAAACATAATTTACTATATAACCAAAAGAATCCTTAGATTAGATATATGAATTAAAATTTTAAGATTTGATTAAAAGTATAGGATTATATATCAAAATAGGAAAGTTAATGATTAAAACTAGGGTTAATAGCATTTTGTACGGCTCTACTTTGGTAAATTAACAAAAGTACCCCTCTATTAAATTTTTGTACAAATATACCCTTCTAATATTAAATCATAACAAATCTTCCATTCCATCTAATTATCCGTTAAGTGACCGTTAAATGAGATGGAAAATAGCCCAATTACCCCTCTAATTTCAATTTCAATTATTTTATTATTTATTTCCAAAATCAATGAATTAGAAAAACAAAACCCCTAAAATTTAATTTAGAAGCACCCGATTGAATGGGACCGACTCCCACGGATGTCCCCTCGCGTCCAGAGATTCGCGTCGAGAATTCGTGTATAGCAGCCGATCCTAATTCTTGAGGCGAATCTCCACCGCCCGCTCCATAATGTAATCGAGGTAGGAGTCGAGGATTAAGGATTTTTCGTTCTTCCGGATGCGGAGAGTGAATCCGCGCTTCTCGCCGGTCAGGGGTTCCAGGAGAAGGTCTGGGAGTGGCGCTGTGAGACGACGTGCTCCAAGAGGACGGTGGCACCGTTAAAGGAGTCGGCGACGGAGTCGTTGTTGGCGAGGTCGAAGGTGACGACGCGGGTGAGGGAGAGGCGGATGCCGGAGATGGAGACGGAGGAGGAGAGGTAGAACTGGCTGGCATTGTAAAGCTCGTTGGTGTTGACGTCGTCGATCTCGGTGATGTCGAAGTAGACGTAGAAGGAGAAGAGGATGAAAGAGGCGGCCGGTGAGCTTTGAATTTATTGACGGTCCAATTTAGTGACAACTTTGAATTTATTTTTAGTGACAGCTTTGCATTCTCTTTAGGGACGGCCTGATTTCGGCACAAATTATTTTTATGTTAGCCACCAATTAAGCAGGGGTTTAAACTCTTGAAATAAATATAATTCAAATGAAGCTATAATATTCACTAGCAAGGGTTCTAACCGTAACTAATTTAACAACGCATGTAGCAGGGTTTAGAACCCTTGGTAGGAACATTTCCTCGTTGGATTTTAAACTGTCATGTAGCAGGGGTTCTAACCCTTGGTACGAGTAGATGCGGTTTTAACCCCTGCTAAAACCCTTGGATGGTGCTTCCACCATGGGTTTCTCAAAACCCCTGCTATCCATAGCAGGGGCAGCATAGGTGAGGAGGGTTGATCCAGGGGTTGTACAAACCCTTGCTACAGTTTATAACAGGAGTTAAAACCCCTGCTACAGGCCAATAAAACCCTTGGTACATGCCCTTTTTTTGTAGTGTACGGTAGTACAATAACCAATTGGAATCGATATAGGGTCGGATGCAAGAGTGTTGGGGCATTACTAATATAAGTAAGAAGATTAGTTTTGATGAGTAATTCTAATGGATTAATTTTGAATAAATTGTTTTATATTGAGATAATCTGTCAAATCGATCCATTTGGCATTACAAATTTAGATGAAGCAAATCTGTCTAGTGAATTTCAAATTGACCAATTTTAAGGCAATTATAATTATCTTGAGGTGGAGGCAGACAATTCAAAATGACTCGTTTTAAATGATACGTTTTACAAAATGAAATAATTGGTCAAATTGTATCATTTTTCAATTGATCAATCCAAATGACCGTCTCGTTATTTTTTAATTCAAAATATTAAAAAAATTGTTAATTAACCACTCGCCAAAATATCAATTTCCAAACGCAATGCGTTAAGTGCCAAATGCATAATGCGATTTATTATGTGTTACTAAATTGCACATGCCACTCACATAAACCTTAAATGAGTTATTTAGAGTTATTTCAAAATACTCGTTTTACCCCTATGTTTTTTTTTTTCAAATACCATATGTGCATGGTTCTACCAAACGATATATTTTAATCCAATTATCATTTAAATATCACATGAACAATGAATGAGTTATTTAACTCTACGAATATCACATTGTCAATTAATCCATCCAACTCGTAGTTGTTCAATCCATAAAATATAGTAGTAATGCTCTTTGAAGGGTCTTACCGAGGTGATGTTCTGTGGGGACCCGAAAGTGGTTATTGAGAAAATTCAGATGATGGATGCTCGAGACGTGAAGGGAGGAAGGATTCTGGCGGAGATTGAGAGTCTTCGACAACAATATCAGAATTTTGTGATCTCTTTTGTTGGCAAGAGTAACAACCGGGTGGCTCATGATGTGGCCAAGAAGACCCTTGTTCGTGCTTGCGATTGTAGATAGTTTTAATTTTGATCGTTGATTTCTACTTGGATTGTAAATTGTGCTAGCTTTCTGCCTTGGTAATACAAGTTGTCTATTAGTAAAAAAAAAAATATAAATTAAACTCACTCACACTTTCCTTTTCTTGGAATATAATGCATCTCACACTTGCAAATTAATTGTGACGGTGGATACGGATTAGACCGGCCTATGTTAGCAAGCATAATTCTAAGGAATGTTTGCTTTTCCAAATAGAATTGGAATTGTAGGAAAGAAACAAAGGGCATGCTGCAAATAGTACCTATCTAAGTTTAAAAACCACTCTTTATACGAGAATATGCGTGTAATTAAGGAATAATTAACCACCCTTCAAGCATCACAGCATATATCTATGCATATTAATTAATCAATTATCTTCAACTTGAATCACAACTTTCACTTTTGTAATCTATGGAGTCTTTGAAAATCCTTCATTAGGAAAGTTAGATAATGTAATGCCCCTTTAAGTAGAAAAGAAGAGGAAGAAGTAGATGAAATGCCAAGTCAAGATGTGCCATTTCTCATAAACTAGTACTACAATGCAAATTTTTAATTGGTAACCCTTAATTGCTTTACAAAAAAAAAACATATGAATTATGATGACAAAGTATCAACAATGGATAAAAGGCACATACCAAGATCTTCATGAGATAAATGTCATTTTTTTAGAAATAGGGCGAAAGAAATCTCAACATGTTATATCAATTGGATGGATTTTATAAATCATAGTAAAATTTATCGTATAAGAGTTAATAAGATAAATAAGAATTTGCGATGTATCAATATTAATATATATAAAGTGAAAGTTGAGTTACTGTTGCCAAATAATTTACATTTTGATACCCCAAATTTAATTAATCACAACTTAGTCACTATAATGTACATTTTATATTTTAATACCCCAAATTTAATTTTAATGTAAAATAATTGTAAAATTATGTTTTGCTATCTAAATTTTATGAGATTTTCGTACCTACGATTTTTTAAATTTACATATTGGTCCATTGTTTAGATTTCACTTGAATCCATGAATCAAATCCACCAATTCTTTTGGACCAATCCATGAATCCAATCCAATATAACATAAGAGTATAAATTTAGTATGTACAATACAAGATGTTGTACCACACAATTGTAGAAGAAGATTCGACCATTTTATATTTGCTCATAACGTGAAACATTAAATAAATGATAAAAGAGATACAACTCTAAAATATTGCAAGAGCGAATTTATAAACTCATTGAGTACATTTACGGGGTACTAAACAAACTTCTACTAACTACATGTAACAAAATATGCGACATCTACATAAGCGAGTGTCGATAAATTGCTACGGGGAAAAGGGTTGAATGTTGTATTGACGACCAACTAGAAGAATTGATCAAAACATTCTATCATCTAATTCCTTTTCATTTCATTTTTTACTCGCCTTCCATAACTCTTTCTTTATTTCTTTCTTTGCCCTCTTCGTCTAACCCTAATTAGTATACTATTTTTATGTATTCTAATCACAAGTATGAACGGGTCCATACAAGACTCACCAACAGTCTAGAGAATTAATAATTGAACAATGAACCACTAACTTTTTCAGGCGTGAAATTTTAAGCGAGTTCCAGTGTGTATTCCTTTTGCTTCTCTCTAGAGTTTTCCTTTTTCACCCGTGCTAGAATTTTCAAAAATTATACTTGAAATATTTGGCTAGGTATCTACACATATAAAATTAATATTTTCCATTTTTCTATAAAAAGGTAAATAATTATCATCTTAAATACATCACTATAAAATGAATTAAGCCTCAACTATGAAAATTACAGTTTGGTACCAAAACTCAATAAATCTTTAGATTTATAAGCTAATTTTTTTTTGCGTATAAGTCCTCAAAATGTTGATGGAACATTACATTTTAGCACCTAAAATTTTGTATATTACATTTTGGTACCTAAAATTTTAAAGTTCTACAGATAGGTTTAATTTTTGTATGTGTAATTAAATCACCCTTGAATAAATGGGTATCCATACCCAACTCATACAAATTTAAGTTTTGGAAGTAAATATCCATACCCTACCCAAACTCATCTACGAACTTCTAACCCCATATATTACTAACAAAACTGCTATAAAAAATTATTTTAGGCCAATAATACTTACAAAACATCATAACAGGCCACATAATACATGCCAATAGGCCTTTTTTGTTCCGCGACAAGGCGCGACATCGCCATCTAGTATAATATAATAGGATGATCGAAAGGCGAGACATGGTTCTTATGCTATTGCGAATTAATTGCTCTTTTTGAACATACAAACAAGATAGACACAATTTCCGATCAAACGAAATAAGCATATAATGGGAGAGGAGATTTTCAAGTTTGACATGGCCAGGCCAATGAATTTCATAGTAATGAACATTGATTAGTGGCAGACACGTAGATGGTGAGGTTGGTCCAAGTCATCACCATTTTTGGTTTTGGAGGCTGATGAATCTGACTTTAAATATCAACCATATAAATAGACCATAGAATATATTATGTGTGTGTGACACCTGCTTGACCCACACGAATTAGCATATTTAATCATGTGTTTTACTTTGCTTTCATTTTCAAATTACATATTAGTTAGGGTATATAGTTGATTAACAAAGTCGGCTAATCCTATTGGCAAGAGAAGAAAAAAAAAACTAATTAAATAAAGAAGTCGGCTAATTAATCCCTTTGACCTTCCAAACTAAAACATGTATACACACACTAGCCTTTGTCTCTCCTCAAATGTATATGCCCAATACTAATAGGGAATTAATGTGTTCATATGTGCCTTATTGGACACACATTCTAGAGTACTATGTTCTAAAGTAAGGATTTGTGCTTTCGATATACAAATTGAACTTGTATGGTATCACAACGTTAAGGTACAAGTTCAGTTTTATCATTATTTTTTTAGTACATATAATTTATTAGCCAAACTTTTTGAAATACAAAGTAGGGTTAATACATTTTTTTTTTTTTATCTCTGCCTTGTGAAAGTAGGCAACCCATTTCTAACTTAGATCAAACAAAAGGCAACAAATGGAAGCCAAAGCAAATTGAGAGTAAGTGTCCTTCAAGGTATAGCATGCATGGCTCACATGCATGAGTGTGAAATATGAGGATTTGAAGGCATGAGAAAAGAGTAATTTTAGAATGCTATATAGTATTGGTGCTATAGGTTTTTGCCATTATGGTACAACTTGAAATTGTACATTTAACGTTATGGTACAACTTTAGATTATACCTATACTGTTTGTACAAACTCTTTTATGGTACAACTTGAACTTGTATCTTTATGTGATGGTACAACTTCAAGTTGTAAAGTTGTACCATAACATAATGATACAAATTCTTTTATGGTACAATCTAAACTTATACATTTCATGTTATGGTACAACTTTAAGTTGTACATTAAAGCACCAATACTATATAGCATAGTAGAAATGCTCATGAGAAAATGAATTGTGCTTTCCACCCTAAAAAATCTATATGAAGCATGCAAATATGTTAACTTTTTCATTTTCTTGCTACCCACAAAAGTGTGTATTTTGGACAATAAAATATTAAAAAGGATTAAATTTTATCTCATTATAATTGTTCCCTACCATATAAAATGAATATATATTTTATTTATTTACAGATAAATAATGGAAAAAATGAGATATGAATAGGACAATATACATATATGGGGTTTGTGGGCTGGCTGTGTCCTATCTATGTCAAAATTCTTCTTTCACAAGTGCATATCCTTTTCACAAATTGATGCCAATAGATGATTTTCCCCCTCACACTCTTTAGCTTTGGCAATGCTTCCTACATACATAATTCATCTAGTCCGTTACAATTGCTATATATGCCTTTTTTTGTGTTTCTAATCACTAGCTAGTGTCTATTCATGAATAAATCATGAAAAACCTTAAGGGATTGCATGAGAAAAATTAACCTAAACGGGATCAATCCTTCTAACATGCATTCATTGTCGTTTATGGGTTCTAGGTGAGATGAATCGTTTTAACGTTATATCTTTTGATTTCTCGATAACATGAATTATCTATGTATTGACTAGAAAATCACTCATACTAATTGTATATGGATGATGGGAGGAATCCATGCTAGAGTGTATCCCCGCACCTCGGATAATAATTGAATTGGCCCAAGTGTGGGGACTATAGATAGAGGATTGCTTGCATTGCACATTTCAAATTTGATTAATTATATTGTACCTCATCACAATTATTTGTAGATTATCAATTTAATTCATTAAACAAAAGTTCTAATACAGGTCATGTTTATGGCTCTTGATCGCGAGCGGACCTAGGTGATTGGGAGGTGTGTCAACCGACATATCCGTCCGAGATTTCGGTGAAAAATATATGTTTCATCATTTAAAAATAATTTGAAATGTGTATGTTCTTATAGCCTCTATGAGAAAGAAGTGAATGAGGACGATGCATGGCAAACTAAACGAGGACACTTCCAGAAACTGTAATTGACACATCTATTGAACCTGCAAGTTGTGAAATAATTCTTTTTACTATGAAGTGAATCAAAAAAAGATCTTCCAAATCAGATGAGTGACCCTGAATGATTGTTTGGTTGTATATATTGAAAAAAATTTAAGATACAAAATATAATATGACTGTATTTCACAAACCTTTCAAAAATTTAAAAATTAGTTACTTTATAGTGGAAAACAATGAAATTGTGTACTCTATGAATTATATATTTATTTTCATTTTTATTGATCAACACATCTATTCAAACATCTTGGATCCGCCACTGCTCTCGATCATCATGTGGAACCAAGTGGTATAGCTTCTTCACGTTCATTTTCTCTACATTAATATTTGTAGGGTATATAATCTTTTGGGTACATATATGTGCTGAACGACTGAAGGGCCAAATAGTTGATATCCACGATCATTTTCAGCGCAATGGGAAAATAATATGTGGCCTCAAGTCCTTCAAATATGCTACCACATGTACATATAGCATGAGGCAAGAGGCAATTATTTAATATATAAATCAAGTCAGGAAAATACTATCCTGAAATAAAATACTTGAAAATCACAATTCACAACAAAAATATTAACAACCGCTTTGTCCAACTTGTTAATTGTGTGTAAGGAAGAGATAAACGTGTTGTTTTAGGTTGAACCTTACACGTTTGTACCACACTCGTGGCAGTTTTCTCAACAATTTTATTGTGTTAGGCGTCAAACAATCAGCTAACAAAAGGAACTATCTATAATAAATAAATCTTAATTAAATACACACATATACAATATAACATTTGGTAAAATATATCTTAACGATTTTGATGTAACAGAGATTCTAAACTAAAATTTTGGGATCGATAAATCAACCTTATAAGAACCCAAAACAGCTCCATGCACTAATGATGCAATTCCGAATACATAAAGGTAACCCTTAGAAAAGTGAATTTACAGGTTTCATTTTATTGGAGTGATACTTCTATGCATGGTTGTCAAACATCTAGTATGTTGGTCAGTATAATCGGGTTCAATCATTGTTTTATATTAATTTGATGGAAGAGCATCAATATGAAGTAATAGTCAAAATTGATAATAAAAATTAGAAAAAATCGGTTGTCTCAATGGAATAATTAATTTGAATTCCTAAAAAAAGTATGTTATGTTGGTGGGCGTAATTATTAACAAAAGAAAGGAATTTTAGATGTTGATGTTATTTATTGGATGCAAATATAAACATTAGAACGTTGATGTTAAATGTAACATTTAAATATTGTGATTTGACATTTTATTTGTAATGTAATTTTTTATTTATTTACATATGAATGTACATGTTAGATGGATTGTCTTAAATATGCCCAATTCATTTGGTGTAAATGAATTTTCACTTTATTCTGTTAAAACTAATACATAAATCGATTGTACCCCAGTCAAACCATATCACTTGCAAAATCAACATAACGATTTACACGGGTTTCACAACATTACTTTTACGTTAATTCTACACACAAAAAGCACAAGTTCATTCTCTTCTAAGAACCGAACTAGTGCTAATCAGAAAAATAGAAACAAACGTAACTAATTAACTATTTCTTTCCATTATTCCATATATGTTAATTAAACACTCTCCGCCTACTAATTAATACTTTAACACACAAATTAAGTTTTTAATATTATATGATTAAAAAAATTCTATTATTATGTGTCATTCATTTATATGATTATAAATGACGAACTACAGCAAATGTTGGTTAACAAAAAGAAAAAAACCCTATTTATCAACTTTTCTTTTTCTTCCATTTTCATTTCCCGCAGAACCCAACCACAGAGCAATGATAATTGCTTAGCTGTCAATCCAGAAACCGAAGATGAACGGTCACGATTTCCCTGCTGCTCAACCTCTGACGTGGATTCCCCTCCTTTAAATACTCAATCATTGGCCTTCTCCCTCTTACCCACTCTTCCCAAAACCCTCCCTCCCTCCCTCTCTCGTTACCCTCACAACGCCTGCTGCCAGAGAAGAAGAAGAAGAGAACAGAAAGAACTCAGAAAACCCACCAAAACCCAATTCTTCATTTCTCAAACAGAGATCTCCACAAGGGAAAAAGCTCGCACCTTTATTTCTACCCCAAAACCAAGCGGAGGGAAGTTGGTTGCAGAGCTTTTCGGCGGGTAGCTTGGAAATGGTGTTTTTCATGATTCTGTTTGCAGCAGAAGAGAAACGCGAAGAAGGCGAGTGGGAAAAAGAGCGATAGGCAAACAAACAAAAACAAGCTCAAAAAGAAGTTCACTTTTCCCCCCTTTCCTCCTGCTACTTCTATAGCAGAGGGATTTCTTCTTTCTACAGAACAGAGAGTTTGCCCGCTGCCGGCGGGAAATCTCCGATTGCCAGGGTAGAAGGAAGTTTCTAGCTAGTCAGGTAATTACACTTCCTCTCCCATGTTTCCATCTAGGAGCTAATCAAAGAATTCATTTCTTTCTTCCTTCCTTTCCATAATTGTGTTTACAGGAAGAAAGACTTTTGAATTTGCTGCCAAAAATGTTTCTCCTTTTTTTCCTTGCTGTTGTGTTGTTGTCTTCTGCTCTGTTTTGTTTTTCTTTCCAATGTTCCTTCATTACATGTGAGAAGGGGGGAAAAAAAAAGAAAAGGTTGTCTCTTTCTCTTTCACAAAGGATTCCAAAAAATCCTCCAGCTGGTGATTTCCTATTCTGATGTTTACGCGTAATCCCAAATCTCCCCCATGTTCTGTTGTCCCTCCACTTTTAAGAAACCCTCCAAAAAATTTACAAACAAAGAAAAATGACAGGAAGGAGAGTGATCCCAGTTAGACTCTAAGTGGGATGAGCTGAAATTCTAGTAATTTCTATTTCGTAATTAATGTTGGTCACAAGATTCGAATACATGACCTTAATCGGTATAGTAGAAGATAGTGTAATCATGGACAATATGCATATGCAGTTGATCATTATCTTTACAAACGCATTGAATTGAGTTTTACAGAGTAATTTTTTGAATGCTCTAATTTCCAATTCATCACAAGAATTTGCTTCTGATGTGTTTTTCCCTTCTTCTCCTATCAAAAACAGGAAATTAAGGACCCCAAAAAAAAAATGTCGGCAACCATGATAAGCGACTCTTTGGTAGTTTCACCACCGGAAACTCAACCTCTTCCGCCGCCCGTCGCCGCCGCCGAAGTTGAATCGGCTACCTGTGACTGTTGCGGCCTGACGGAGGAGTGCACGCCGGCGTACATCGAAAGGGTACGGGAGAGGTACCACGGCAAATGGGTGTGCGGCTTGTGCTCGGAAGCGGTAAAGGACGAGATAGTGAGAACAGAAGCAGAGAGACTTATAAGCACCGAGGAAGCATTGGCGCGACACATCAATTTTTGCAAGAAATTCTCATCGTCGCCAGAGCCGACTCCGATCGACCCGACGCTGCATTTGATCTCTGCGATGCGACAGATTTTGAGACGGAGTTTGGATTCACCGAGGTCGTCGCCACGAGGGCCAAGATCGACTCCCGGAAGCCCCATGACGAAGTCTGTGGTGAAGCTGGCAAGGTCTGAAAGTTGCTTCACGACTTTGTCTAGTTGATTGAAGTAAATCAGATTTGAATCTTGCTGACTAACAAAGAAATGTAGGGAAATCGATAAGGTACTGTTGCAAGTTATGCGAGTTGCTTCGCGATCGTTTCTGATTGGCTAAGTCAATTAGTTTCGAACGTTGACCGGCGGGAGGAACTAGGATGGTTGGAGAACTAGGATGGGGCTTTCTGCTAAGTTTGAAGCAAGGGAAAGGAAGAAATATTGGATGGAAATTGAAAATTACAGCCCTTTATCGGACTGTTTCATGTTTTTTTGTTTCCTTTCTTTTTTGCTGGGACTCTCTTTGTTTCAGTTGTGAAAGATCAAAGAATTGTAAAAGTTCTTCTCTCTTCTATCTAGGGTTTAAAAAAAAGGTCTTTTCAGTCCTCAGAACTCAAGGTGGAACTATGTCTTGTCCAAATAATTAGGTTTTTGGGACTGATTGTTTGTAGTACAGAATGGAATCATCTGTACTTTGCTTGAAGTTGTGGCTAGTAATATAATCTCGGAAAAAATCAAAACACAAAATCAATTAGTCATATCAATCAATCAACTCAATGCTATTGGTTTAGTTATGAATCTTGTGAGAGATAAGACTACATGAGTTATAAAATAAATAAAAAATTGGACTTGAAAGGAAAATCATATTAACAAATATATTTAACTGAGAGTTTCTTTGTTTGTGAGGTCTAGCAATAAACAGATGTATATGATTAGAGACGATTAAACTTTTGAAATCGATTCTTGTTATTATTACGGAATGGTCTGTGGCATGGAAACATATTGCAATGTAAAACAATGTGTTTCCGATCACTTAATACATGTATTTGTATTTGTTGGGTATTTACTATTTAGATTATCAAAATTACTCCACCCAAACCTAAAGAAAGAGTTCCTGAAAGATGCAGGAAAGGTATAGGTTGGCTTACAGAATTTTTCTTTCTTCCTTTTTTTTTTGGTGGAATTTTTCTTTCTTTTTGGAGAACTACAATTTATTATTCCCCCATTGCAAAGTGATGGACCAATTTTTATTGATTCTTTTCTCAATGCCTTTCACAATATGACAAAATATGTATATTACACATTAATATACAGGAGCAAAGCTGTACACTTGTGAAGCAATTATTTGACTCTCCTCTCCCAATTGAAATCTCCATACTATACAGTGTATATCTTCTATGACACCCTGTGAATTATGATTGGTTGATTTTCTTTTATTTATTTGGACTCTTTTCAATTGGTAGGAAATGAGTTGTATAGTTGGAATATAGAGAGGGAGTAGATAAGTAGCATTTTGCTCTTTCTCTGTCTCTAGAGAAAGAATCTCATGTTGCTGTCTATCTTCTTCTCTTTAGTCAATTCATCATCCAAATAATTGTGGGGGAAAAAAAAGCAATTGAGCTTATTGTTAGTGTGGGAATCTCTCAATTTCATATAGACATGTTTTGTTCTCCTCATTCGCCCATGATTTGCCAAAGATTCTTTGTGTATCCTTCAAAGAAAATGATTTTCACTTCAAATGAGATAAAAGTATCATACTTTATGAGATTACGCAAAACTGATATTGTAAAATCTCCAAGTTCTTATCATTCCTCAATACTGTCAATATCTATTCCACTCCGCTTAACATGTTTCCAACCATATTTGATTTATCAAAATGATGATGATCATCAGTCGATCATGTTCGTGATTTCAGTGATGACAAATACGATTGGCACATAACCTAATTAACTTGAACACTTTGGATCACTAGCTCATACATTTGTCACCTTTGCTATATATGGCCATAACAAGCATGTGCCTTTCATGTATTGATATGTATAGAGAGAGAGATCTAGAGAGAGATTCCTAGTATAACATTCGCCAATTAGATAGCTTTATTCCATGTATGAAATGGTAATATTTATTATTAAATCATTCACCCCAACTCAAATTATTTCGGAAAATTAATTCTATGATATCAAGTATTATCAATGGCGTAGTTAGGATTTTACTTAAGGTGGGTCCAACATAAAAATAAAATTATATAAAATAAAATTTTCATATTTTGTCGACAGATTTTTGTTTAAAGGTGAAGAATTCAAACTAAATTAGGAATGAGTAAATTTAGAATAAACAATTAGAGACACAATTTTATCTAAAATATAGAATTATGAATATATATACAAATCTAATGTGTGTCACAAAGTTTTCTACATATTGTTGGTATACAAGTAAGACCAGTAAACAAACGGTACTGAGTTCGAGTATTATATCGTGTAAAAGTATTTTGGTGTTTTAATCTAGAGCCAATGTGTTTTTCAAAACTCTCTTCGCTGCAAATTGACTCCACCACTGACTCTTATTATGAACTGAAATGTATCATCCTAATTGAATTAGCTCGTCATATTTATATTTGATTTTTTAAACACAACATGTAACTATTACTGTCATCATGACAACATTTATATACAGAAAAGACTTCTTAAGTTTATGGTCACAAAAAAGGTATCCCAAAATTTTCTGTTGCTCCAATTGAAAGAGAAACGAAAGACCAAATTTGGTGAGATGCGGTTGGCCACAATAACTAGACTTTTTTTTTTTTTTTGAAAGGACCACAATAACTAGACAATGTGTGGATGACTGTCAAAAAATTTCAAAAGAATAAACTAATTTCGACTGGAAAAATATTAATTTATGAGACTTTTTCTTTTATGCTGATTTATTTATGAGAGTGAGTTGTGCCAGGCCATATGGTGAAATTAATGGCATTTCAATACAAATGTATATGCCTTAGGTTGCTGTGAATCTTACTCCGTCACAGAAAAAAACGGATTTTCCCCAAAGTACATAGGTCTTTAAAAAAATTTCTCAAAATACACATATTTTATGAAATATTCTCAATCTTATTACGTGATGTCAGTCACACAAATCACATTTTTTTTTAATTAGTACGGTCTTCTGTTGACCGGTTAGTTCCAGCCGGCCAGGACAAAGGTATTGGCCCCCATTTCTGTATTATTCATAGAACTTTCATGAAAGCATGGAGAGAGAGATTAATCAACATATCGAGATGTAATTATTTTTACCAATTAAACTTGGCTTTGTGTGCTAATTGGAAAACTGCACTTTAGCTTACTTAGCCCTTTTCTGCTGCATCTTTGGAACTGGGACGGGATACGGTCACTTCTTCTAATGGGATTGTGAGATTCACAACCAATAGCATTTTGGGTATAACAAAAAAAAAATTAATTAATTTTTTGTATTAATTACAGATTGGAAATTAAAAATCTATATTAAATACATGTTTTTTTAAATTAAATCCTACAATAGATACATTTATATCTTTCTCTTCCTATCTCTCTTTTCCTTTTTCAGCAGCCAATCCACACCGACCGGCAGGCTTTTTTCCGGTGAAATCCTTCAATCGGACTCGTTCCAGCCATCTGCAAAAAAACCACTCCGTCAATGTGCTAGTGGTACCGATTTTCGTCTAGTGTGAGGTACGCTACCAGTGGTAGTGGTACGGTACCACTGGTACCATTATCATTGGTAGTGGTATGCTACCACTACCAGTGAGTAGTGGTACGCTACCAGTTAAAATAAGTACCACTAGAGACTAACATAAAAAAACCAGATATGGAATCTGGAAAATCTCTGATCTGGCAAAAAAATCAAGGGATGGGGAAAGGAGAAGGCATGCGAGAGGTCGTTACCTCGCAGCGGCGGTGGTAGTGGATGAGGGCGGCGGGAGAGGAGGACGGCGGGAGAGAGATGACAGCGACAGAGGGAGGAGGGAGGCAAAGGACCTCATGGCGGTGGTGGTGGGAGGCGGAGGAAGGGGGAGACGAAGGGCGCGACAGGGGGTTGAGGGTTGTGGGAGGGCTGCGGAGGTGGCACCAGCGGCGGTGGTGGGAAGACGTCACCGATAGGAGGAGATGGGGATGGCGGCAGAAGATGAGAGGAGAGAAGAAGATGATGGATCTGTTAGGGTTAGAGGAAGAGAGAGGAGAGGAATATGTAGAGTTATTAGGGGAGAGAAATCTGATGTGGTTATTTTTTTCGTCCAAAAATACCCCTGGATTAATCTCCTTCATCCATTCAGAAAAAGAAGGAGAGATAATGAATCTAATGGCTGGGAGGTGGGTAGCACATCTCACAACCCTTAAAAGGGAAGTGACGGTATCTCACCCCTTTGAACTTCATTTGATGTCATATAATGCTATTCTAACTCTTCTTCTTTGTTTAGCTTTTATTACATTTGGATTGATTCCTCGAGGAAAATGGTCAAGGAAGAAGAAGCTAAGACAAGCATGTCCTACCAGAGTTTCTAGATCAGCATGTAAACAAAATGATCAGGATACAATTTGAGCTATAGGCAATTCGCTTCCGTAATCGATTGTGCTGCAAGGAACCATCCGGAAGGGGACCAGGCCAACATCAGAATTACTTGCTACAGGGGTTAAATGCCTAATTGAGTCACACTGGAAACAAAATGTTAACTAAAAATGAGTTGTAACAGTTAGTATAAATGTATAATCAGCATTCACTAAGGATTTTAGTTTAACTAGTGACAAATTTTGTCAGACCTCATAGTTTTCAGTCATCTATTTTTAAAAGAAATTTATCGTGCGGTCTTTGTAGGCTTTTCTTTAGCAGAATCCAGTCAATATTTTCAATCAAACCTTAATGCCTACATCTCATTCGTAGAGTTGGTGATGCTCTTTACCTCTTTCAATTTTAGGATTCACGGTGTAAAAGACAATTGAGGAAGGACGAAGAGGGCCAGAGTGGGCACAAAATTGTTTGTCCAAAGCTCAAGAATTTGTTTAGTGAGGGATGTGATTATTTTGAGGAGAAGAAACATATATATTTATACTCAGTTAATTATATGTTTTAACATTTATCCAACTATCTGATTATCGGTTACACCAGAAGCCATTTTCAAACTATGATAACCACAAACGCCAACTTATAATCGGTTAATAGTTAGTAAAAGTGGAAGCCTTATTTTGACGTGTCACGGAACACACCTCAAATTTTGGAGAAAATTATTAACCACATATAGTGTATATATGGAATTGGAATACTAGACATTATGTAATAGAAGAAGTTTTATATACAACAAAAGAAATTTAGTTGGATATATTAAAAAAATATTTACTTAAGAGTATAAGCAATGAACGTCTTTTTACAATGGTTTATGTAAACACGTTACTCTTGTGTATGCGAAAGAAAATATCGTTAATTATCAATTACCAGTAAATTTAATAATTTAACTACTAACCTGCTAATTGCATATCACTAATTACATTTTAACTTATGTAATCACCAAGGTTGTCAAACCGCGGATCGACCCGGACCCGGACGAGCTAGTGGGTCATGGGTCAATGGGTCACCCGTTTTAGCCCGGTTTAGCCCGGAAATATGGAAAATGTAATTATATTATACTTATCCTGAATCCAACATAAAAAAATGCAACACTACTTCAACTCCAACACACTTAAATAACATCAACTTAAATTCAACATAGTAAAAATTCACAAAACATCACATATATCTTTCGTTCCATTTATTGGAACCAAGTCCCAAACCCTTACCAAATGACTATGACTCAGGGAACTAAAGGTAATGGAGAGGCTCGGTTCGCAAATAATGGAAAAGAAAAGACAATGAGAAGATGGTCTCCGCCGACGAAGGAATTGGTGACCGACAATGAGAAGGGTGGAGGCACAGGCGGCCGAGGCGGAGGCCAAGGCGGAGGCCGAGCAGAGGCGGCCGAGCTGAAGGGAGGGGAGACGGAACGGTGGCGGCCGACATGCGAAGATGATTCTCACCGCCGACGAACCGGAGCGCGCCGCCGAAGAACCCTGGCGTGGCTATATCGATCGGCTGCGGGAGAGGGAGATTGTTGCGCTGCTGGAAATGGAATGTGATGTATGTTTGTAGGGTTTTGGTTTCCAGACGACCAGCAGGCCAACACCAAGCAGAACGGCGCCGCTTCCCCTGCTCGTTTGCTCTCCGCGCAGTCCGCATAAACGGTGACGCATCGGCCAAAACGGGGCTCAGGAAGAGCAACCCGCTGACCCGCTCCAACGGGCTAACCGGCCGGGCCAACCCGAGTTTGACTATTTCCGGCTGACATGAAAATGGGTTGGTATGGCCCGTTTTTCTGTCCGGGTCCGGGTTAATCCGGATCAACCCGCGGTTGACAACCTTGGTAATCACTAATTAGTAATGCTTTTCTGGTTGAAAGAAATAACGAATAAAATATTTAAATGGCTGTCTCGGACATGAGGCGAGGTGAGTCCGACCCGAACGTGGATATTGAACCCGTACGCAGAAATTTCTGATCCACCCTGCTACGCCCAAGAAATTTCTCATCAGCTCTCCATTTTTCAGCTGGGACTCCCAAAACCCTGCTACGATCTTTTCATCTGCGATCAATTCCAACAGGCAAGTCCTCGAATTTCCTTTAGCTCGCACCTTTCCCGCGGCTTAGTCGGTCTCAATCCCAATTCTAGGGTTTTTTAAGCAAATGAGACCCTGGGGATTCACTCATCGTTGAATTTGATTGGAATTAGTTGTTCTTACAAGAATCAGAGGCGGAAATTCGAGATGAATGTTCCCATTAGGTCGAAGAGTACCCCCAAAATCCCCAAATTGAGGGGGGTTTTCAATGGATTATGCGCGCTGATATTGGTTATCTTGTTGTCCAATCGGGGAGGTTCGATTGAGAACATTCCTGATAGTGAAAGTTCGAAGCTTGGATCTATTTCGAGGAATGGGGTGAGTCGGGTTGAACCGATTCGTAGGCAGATGATCGAATTCGATGCAAATTTGATTTCCCCGAGTTCAGGAAACAGGACTGATGTATTCGACACCACTTTAGAGGATATGAACAACAGGCCACATGAATGTAGAGATGTGATTGATCACAAGGGATACCCAAACCAATGTGCCTTCTTGCAAGCCAATCCACAATGCTTCTCTGATGGCTTCTTCGACTATGTTCATTTCGTGTACTGTGATTGCGGCAACTTCAGATGGCTGGGGTTTCTTTTGCTGGGGATCTGGCTTGCTGCATTGTTCTACTTGCTGGGGAACACTGCTGCTGATTACTTCTGCTGCTCGTTGGAGAAGCTCTCAAGTCTATTGAAGCTCCCCCCTACTGTTGCTGGTGTTGCCCTCCTACCGCTTGGCAATGGAGCTCCAGATGTTTTTGCGAGCATTGCTGCGTTCCTCGGAGAGAATTCCGGCGACGTGGGGCTCAACAGCGTATTGGGAGGTGCTGTGTTTGTGACCACCGTTGTTGTTGGTGCTGTCTCACTGTGTGTGGCGCAGAAGGAACTGCAGATCGATCGGAGATGCTTCGTCAGGGACATATGTTTCTTCCTCGTTGCTCTCTTCTCATTGCTGACAATTTTGATGGTTGGTAGAGTGACTGTTACAGTGGCAATTGCATTTGTTTCAATCTATGTGGTGTATGCATTCTTTGTAGCTGCTAATGAGCTCTTGAGGAAACATGCTCAGAGGTTGAAGTTGGATTCGGTGACGCCATTGATTCCTGTCAGGGGAAGTGTGTTTTCCCAGGGAAGTGAGGAAGAAGATGTAGGATCAGTTTACAGCTCTCTGCTCGAGGTGGATACTGAGAGTGATGTCATACATGATCTGCCACCGTCGTTGCCCTCGTGGATGTGGGCTTCGAACGTGGCGATATTCTCAAACCACTCGTCAAAGTCGAATTCTATGGATGAGGAAAGGTCGCCATGGGGATGGAACGATGACCACGAGGGTGGATCAGATATGAGAAAGTGTGCAGTCTCGTGTTCTCGATTGTTTTCGATCATGGAGATGCCGTTAACAGTGCCAAGGAGGCTGACAATCCCCCTCGTGGACGATGAAACATGGTCTAAACCATATGCAGTCAGCAGTGCTGCATTAGCTCCACTTCTCATTGCATATCTATGGAGTACACAAAGCGATCTCTCTCCTTCAAATAGAATCATTGGTTATATAATCGGAATATCACTTGGTTGCACGTTTGGGATTCTAGCTTATCAACAGACTCTACCTGACCGACCTCCTCGGACCTTTATGCTAGCATGGGTTATAGGAGGGTTCGTGATGAGCATCGTCTGGTTCTACATGATAGCAAATGAGCTCGTTTGTCTATTAGTTGCATTTGGTACTATATTAAGAATCAATCCATCGATCTTGGGACTAACTGTACTGGCATGGGGCAATTCCATGGGGGATCTGGTCTCGAACGTTGCACTGGCAATGAATGGTGGGGACAGTCTGCAGATTGCCATGTCTGGTTGCTATGCGGGTCCAATGTTTAACACACTCATTGGGTTGGGCGCCTCGATGGTGTTGGGCGCCTGGTCAAGGGGCAACGGTACATACGAGATCCCTCGAGATGGCACGCTGTTCTTGACCATTGGATTTCTCGTATCAGGGTTGCTCTGGGCTCTCATCGTGCTGCCTAGAAACGATATGCGTCCTAATAAGACGTTGGGCGTCGGGCTTATAGCTATGTATCTAGTTTTTCTGACCGTGAGGCTGACTGCTGTCACGAGTTTCGTATTAAGCTGAGCTCTTCATCTAATGTATTGTTGTAATTTGTCTTGTGAACCTCATTCTGTAAAATTGCTTGTTCTGGAGAGTAGAGTCTTCATAGTTATCGTTTGAGCAAAGTCATTCTGCACATGCTGATATATAGGGCGACTTGATCATGTTGTACATAGACGGATTCTTTCAGGGTATTAGAATCACACAGTTTTTCTTGTGTTATTTCACTTTTCCGTGTCTAATGTTTTCTGGGTTGGTTTAGTTTACTGCAATTGTAGAGCAGGGATACAATTGAACAAATAATTTTAGTGATCTGCATAATTCTTCTTTGCTGCTTCGTGGAATCAAAACATTTCTTAAAAAGTACATTACAGGTAAACAGTAAACTGCATACTATCGAGGCAAAGGAATTGGTGATTTTCTCTCCTTTGTAAGCTCAACCGACAGACTGCAGCACGTAACCCAAATGAGCAACAGAGTTCCATTCCACATCCAAACCAATCTGCTATACAGTGAGGGACTGAGAGGATGGTGGAATGGGAATGGGATGTGCCTGTGACCATGAAATACGACAGAGCGTGAGACTAACAATCTCTCTCTCTCTCTCTCTCTCTGGCGATGGCAATAGTTTCTGTGTCCATTGGGAATGTACAACTGCAACAGGCACACGTTTGTTGTTGTCCGTCGTCTGGAGCTATGTTGTTTCCTAGCTATGACACGTCATGCATGCATAGGTCAGGTTCTCCAAAGGCTTATTTTAAGCTAGTTCATAGTACAATACAAACAGCACTCAATATCTTTGAAACGTCTGTGTCACTGTCAGAACTTCATGGCCGATAGCCTGATACTGCTACTACACTACACTACTGCTTTTTATGTCATTAATTCTCTCTCTCTTTTGCGAGTTTCCACCAAATATCTTAATTGTGCATTTTCTTCGTGTTGCAGGGGAAGGAAAGATTCTCTGTTTGCCTTTCCCTCGTTTTCATATCTGCTCCCCAAAAAAACATCCTTCTCTTGAATCGTATCAAAATGGTTTGTAGATTGCAATGATAAAGATTGGTACTTTAAGTTGGATGAATTGGCTGGCGTTTTAATTCATGTGCTTAAACATGATGAATTATTTAAGCATTAGATGAGATTTTATGAGCTTCAAGCCTATAAGTTGTCTTTGTTGGGTGTCGCAGCAATTAGTACTCTGTTTAGAGGTTAAGGACTCGGGAGTTTGGAACTATTTTTTAAGGGGAAGTGAACAAGTTGGTTGCAAGGTGTAACAATAAGAATACAAAGTTGGGAAGCAAAATCAAAGCAGAGAGAAAAATAAAGGCAAGAAGAGACTAGAGAGCTAGAACAGCGGATGCAGGACCATTTTTCCTATTTACGACTTGCAGTTTGCAGTCACGTGTGTTCTGCAGCCATGCCCAGTTCTGCAGCTGCAAACTTCAAAATTTTGTCTTCCTCTCTCTTCTCTCTCTGAATCCACGGACTTATTGCCATCAGCTTTGCTTTTAAAACTCGCCAATGATAATTAACTCTGCTGCATTCATAACTCAGTCGCACCCCATTTTTTTGTTGCAGAGGCAGATGTAGTGGTTGGCAGTTGGAAACTTAGTAATATGGCTTAAATTAGCTGCAAAAGTGCAAATTTTGGCTTCTGGGTTCCCTTCATTCTTCCCTTTTCTCTTCTGGGTTTCCTGGGGTTTTTGATTTTTCTGAAGGAGAGATGGAAAATGGGAGGAGTCTGAAATCATGTTCATCATCATCAGGAGCTTCCTCAAGTGGGTCTTCTTCTTCAGTTGGTGTAGTTGTTGTTGGCCCAGTGAGCCCAAAGTCTCCTCCTTCTGGTTCATTGGATATGTATGGAAAGAGGAGGCAGCTTGTCAAAGTTCAAGTCTTGGAAAGAGAGATTGCCCTCCTTCAAGTAACTAATCATCCTCCCTTCTGCTGCTTCTTCTTCTTCTGCTAGCTTTTGTAGTAATTCATATCTTTTCAATCAATTTCGAAGCTTTCCTCTCTTTTGCCTCTATAGTATGTTGTTTTCACTTTGTGATGGTGCTCTGCTGATTCTGGAATCGAGATGCATTCCTTTTGGGGGACATGATTAAGTGGTGATGAATCCAAAGTCCATGCCTTTTGTTCATTTTAGCTGAAATTGGAAGTGGAACCCAAAAGAGAAAATATAAATTTTTTTCTCTCCTTTGTTTATGTCAAGAAGAACTAGTTACCCACTTTCAGAACACATTAGAATTGAAGTTTGTATATGGTAATGTTATAAACATGTGTTTGAAAGAACTTTTAATGGTAAGTGTCGTGAAGATTCGAACACGACAGTTTATTAATCACGAGCCCTCTCATCCAACATCATCATTACAAGTTAAAGGTGGCAAAGTGAAAATGTTTTTTTTTTTCTTTTTTCTTTTCCATTTGATGAAACAGGAAGAGTTGAAAGCTGTGGACGTCCTTCAACCAGCTTCAAAGTGCTGCAGAGAGTAAGGGCAGCTAGGCCTTCATCTTTCTTCTTCTATTGCTCTGCCTTCCCCCTGCAAAATGCAAATTCTTCATTAGTTCCTGTTTTAACACTTGTTTGTATTTGGGATTGATAGGGTTCATGAATATGTTGATGGTAGACAGGATCCTTTTATCTCAAAGTAAGCCTTTCTATTCTAACTTCTCAACTTCATTCAAAGAGTTCCCCATGTGCACCAGATACTGTGGTTTAAGGCTAGAGCCTAATCCTTTTTCTTTGATCTTTCTTTCTTGACTGCTGCAGAAAAGAGGAGTCGCATCTGTTGCATAAGCCCTGCCTCTCCTGGAAGCAACTGTGGTAAAACCAAATTTCCCCTCTTTCACTAATTGAGCTTATAATTAAATAAAGCTTTCATCTTGCAATTAGGACATGATTCCCAATTATCTACCTAGCTAGATGGATAGAGGGACGAAATAACTTGTGGGAGGCAAGGCAACCTTTTTATGCTTGTGTTTGTGACACAAAAATAAGACTAACAAGTGTGGTACAATTGTTTTGCAACTACCCTCGACAGTCGGCCATGGGGTTGCTGCCTCAGTGAATGCCAATGCCACGTTCGACTCCCCAAATGTTTGTCCTGTTGTACCTGCCGCCGGCGTCAGAACAGCGGCCGCCGCCAATCCGGCTCCGACTCCAACTCCAACGCCAATTGCAGTAGTTGTTGGGGGAAACCAACTTGCAAGAGGGGCAGCTGCAATGGTTGTTGCCTGATGAAAAAAACAATGTCATGTCTATCTTGTAGTAACTGTACAAAGGTGAACGGTTGTTGTCCTAGTTGTTCGAACAATTGCCGCTGCTGCTGCTGCTACAAGTCATGCTGCTGTCTATGAGTTCAATAGCTGCTACAGTTTTCATTTTGAGTGACAATGATATTACTTTGGGGAATGCCAGCCAAAGGGGTGAATTAAGTTACTCATAAAAGAACTCTCTAACTTGGAGAAATTTTACAATGCTATATAATATTGGTGGGCTTAATTGCAAGTTTGGTCACCCGAATTGCTTAAAAATTTCATGTTTGCCACCCGAATTGATTTATTCCATTTATAGTCACTCGAATTAGTTCAACAGTCCAAGTTCGGTCACTCTCCGTTAACCTCCGTTAGATTCCGTTAATGACGGCCGTTAAGTGATGACGTGGCTAACAGATATACACAGTCAGCACTTTTAAACATTAAAAAAAGACGACCCGACCCGACCCGACCCGCCAACTCAGCCGTACCCGCCAACTCAGCCTTACTTGCCCAACCCAAGAACCAACCCAATTAATTCACCCTAAACCCAGACCCGAGACCCAACCCCCCTAAAAATTAAATCGCAAATGGATTAGGGAAATGCCCTAACTCCATCTTCATCCTCTCACCCGCGACTGCTGTTCTTAACTCCATCGAGAATCGCCGTCGAAGATAAGTAGAAGAAGAACAAGAACTTCCGCGTCAAACATGGCGTCCCCCGCCCCTTCTCAATAATTCTCCCCTTCACATAAATATATACAACTTTCCCTCTCCTCCTTTCTTTCTACTTTACCAATTATTACCCTCACTCAACATTTTCCGCTCTACGGCCCAGCAATTAATGGATTCTCCGGGCTCCAGACCCTCCTTCTCCGACCGGAGCTACGCGCTCAGCGGGAAGATCATGCTGACCGCCATCGTCGTCCTCTTCTTCGTCGTCATCCTCATGATCTGCCTCCACCTCTACGCCCGCTGGTACCTCCTCCGCGCGCGCCGCCGCCAGATGCGCCGCCGCAGCCGCCGTCAAAACCTCGTCTTCTACGTCGATCCGGCGAACCCGAACCCAAACCCAGCCGGAGTAGAATCTCAAGGACCCAAGAGTTGCCGTTTCATTCATTCTCCATCCCTTCGACGGCGATTCTCGATGGAGTTAAGAACAGCAGTCGCGGGTGAGAGGATGAAGATGGAGTTAGGGCATTTCCCTAATCCATTTGCGATTTAATTTTTAGGGGGGTTGGGTCTCGGGTCTGGGTTTAGGGTGAATTAATTGGATTGGTTCTTGGGTTGGGCAAGTAAGGCTGAGTTGGCGGGTCGGGTCGGGTCGGGTCGTCTTTTTTTAATGTTTAAAAGTGTTGACTGTGTATTTCTGTTAGCCACGTCATCACTTAACGGCCGTCATTAACGGAGTCTAACGGAGGTTAACGGAGAGTGACCGAACTTGGACTGTTGAACTAATTCGAGTGACTATAAATGGAATAAATCAATTCGGGTGGCAAACGTGAAATTTTTAAGCAATTCGGATGACCAAACTTGCAATTAAGCCAATATTGGTGTTATATGTTTTTGCCTTTATGGTACAACTTAAAATTGTACATTACGTTATGGTACAACTTCAGATTGTACCTATACTTTTTGTACAAATTCTTTTATGGTACAACTTCAAGTTGTAAAGTTGTACCATAACATAAGGTACAAATTGCTTTATGGTACAACCTAAACTTATACCTTTAATGTTATGGTACAACTTTAAGTTGTACATTAAAACAACAATACTATATAGCATAATAGAAGTGCTCACCTTCCCATTTCCCACTGGCTTTCCTTCTATTACTATATCATGCTTCTATACTATATCTCAAGTGATTGTTATTATGCATATATAACAATGCATTATGCATATATTTTAAATTATAGTTGTTACATATATCTCGTTAAACCCGTTTATATTGTTGTGTAAGTTTAGTAAGTGGTAAATTCAATTGGTTTGTGTTAGTTCGTATCAATTTAATAAAATATATAAACTATGAAAAATCATAAACTATAAAATATATAAACTATGAAAAATCATTAACCATATATATCACGTATTTGAAAACAGTTTACTTACAATCTACATTCATATTTAAATAAAATAGAACATTCTAAAGAAAATAACATATACTCATCTTTAAATACAAGTTTTAACGTCAAAATCAAAACTTCATATTTTAATCAGACAAAATAACATCAACATTTAATTTTTAATTTCACCAAAATCACAAATTAATTAAATTTATTAATTAAATTTGCTATAACGACATAATTTTATTTATAGGCCAAAAATCGATTATGCCAATACTATTCACATCGATTTCATAATCGATGTCGATTAAATCAGGTCCAACCAACCCACAAGCCACTATCTTAACAGCCACGATGTCAAAGGTCGTTCACTCCATGTACACCTGCCTTGCAAAGGAAAGATACACTGAAGCGGAAGACTACCCGTTCAAGATGATTTGGCAGGCGTGGATTCCGTCAAAGGTCTGCACCTTCTTGTGGATTGTCCATCAGCGAAAGATACTCACTCACGACTCTTTAAAGAAGCGAGGCTGGTGTTTCCCCAGCATGTGCGTCATGTGCGCGGCTAGTGAAGAAGACGCAAACCATCTGTTCCTTCACTGCAGCTTCGCATCTAGAGTTTGGACTATCCTGAGTGCCTTTGTTTTCTCGGCCCGAAGTCCTGGAGACATAACGCAAGTGATCAATAACTGGCCGACAAGGAAGCCTGAAAACCCGAGAGAATGGTGCACCATGGTTCTTGTCCATGCCTTGTGTTGGAGTTTATGGAAGGAAAGGAATCATAGGACTTTTGATGGATCAGCCAATTCAGAAGTCGTCATCGCGTTCAAGATTGGCAGCTTAATCGTTCAATGGCTGACTTCTGCTAGCAAAGTTGATATGGCAGTGGCAGAACAATGGCTTAGAGTTTTAAAGAGAAGAACTTTGGGGGTCAGGGACTAAGTTCGTCGCCGTTCATGACTGCTTTGTTTGGCTTGAGCTCTTTGTTTATTTCTGTTTCTTGCTACTCCCCAGGGCTGCTGCTGCTGTTTTTTGCCTTTTCTTTTTCTTTCCCCTTTGTGATCTTTGCAGGCAGTTAGCTGCGTTTGATGTTTCTGTGTGTGGAGACTTGGGCCGATGTCTGCCGGCCTGTTTCTCTTGTTTCTGTTTTTTTTATTTCTTGAATTTTTCTAATGGATGTCAACATTATCAAAAAAAAAAACAGCCACGATGTCAAAACTACCTACGCTGATCATACTTGCATTATTGAGCAATTTCCCACTTGACACCAATCAGGGATGGTGGCTACTGGCTAGCCATGAGAGAAATATCCACATCAGGAAATATACGCTGGCATCCGATCTAATTGAGTACGGTAAATTTAAACCGAAGTATTTTTAGTGGGTATGGTTAAAATCGGAATTCGAATATTGCGAGTAATAGACGGGTATTTTATTTAGAAATGGAATTTATTTTTCTCATAATATTTGATATTTTTATGAAATTGTGTTCTCTTCAATTAATTTTTTTGTTCTAGTGATTTATTGTTGTACTTTTTCACTTATGTAATATCAATATGCGTGCAACTGATAGCAATTTTGTTGGAGTTATGAAAAAAATTGCTACCTATGGATAACCATTGATATCTGAAACCCGACCGAGTAACGATGTGGATTTGATTTTCTACCTAATTCTGGTGTGGGATGGGGATAGGTAAAACCCGAACTACTTTGAGTAGGGTGTACCAGGACAACAGTCCGGTCCGACGACGAGCTAGCACAACACGAGCTTGAAATATATGGTTCAGTCCGATACTAGCACAAATAATATATGGATTGTATCGGACCTAAACTTCATAGGCACGAGCATGACAATGATATAAGTGGGTCATGTCGGATATAATATTTTTGAGACTAACGAGTATACCACGACATAACACAAAAAGAACACATCTTTTTACAGAAAATAAATATGAAGAAAATTATAAGTTCAACTATTACAACACCAAAAATAATTATTCATTGTTAAAAGTTATCATAAACATATTATATGTAATTAGTAATCACTACCATAAACAAAAATGATAAAAACAATTTGAAAAAAACAGCCTAAATGGATGCACGTGCTAAACGGATGCACGTGCTGTGTCGGCCCAAATACTAGCCAACGCTCAGGTGAAAAATAAGGTAATGGATATTGCATTATCCAGCCCAATCCCAATACATTACGATCCCTAATGGTGGCAGGCCTTAGCAAACGATCGAGCCCAATGGAAATCAAAATGGGCCATGGTCTTATTGGCTACTATAGTTAATTACCACAAAGTCAAATGACGTGGTTGTTGGCGGCAAAACTACAAAGAGCCTCGTGTTCTTTAATTTTTTGTTTTTGTTTTATATGGTCTTACAAAATACAAATGATGAGGGGCCCCATAGCATATATTAATAACCCACAAAAATTTTAGGTACATTGAACTTGGACAGACCATCCTTACCTACCATAGTACAATTTTGTTATGGACTTATGGTACTCAATATTCAATAACTACCTTGTGAAAGTGTACTCATAGACGCCTGACACGTAGGAGATAAATAATGATTCTAATCAATAAAATAACAAGGTCAATATGAGATTTATGTGGTTAAGCAAGTGTAAATGGGGCAGTGTGGGTACCTCATTATTCATGCTCAGCTTAACGTTATTGTGAGTTGGGGCCGAAAATATCGGTGCGGGCATAGATTAGGACGGATTGACCGACTAGTATATGTTATTTGAAAAAAATACAAGTACAATTTTATTTTTTTTACGATAAAACGAAGGGGAAAACACTCTATGAATGAAAAATAGTGATAACATAATGGATAATTGAGTCTAACTAGTTGAAAGATCGAGTATAACTAGTTGAAGAAAAGTCAAAATAGGAGAAATATAACTAGATATCGTAAGAATTTGAGATAGAATAGGTCAGGACGTGTCCGAAGTAGATACTCATTTCCCGCCCCACGCTACATCGAGTCGGATAATACCCGTCCCATCGCGGATAAAATCCATCACGGCATCACTATTCGGGTTCTTGCGTAGTTGAGTTATGTATGCATATATGTGTTATTGGTGTTTATTAATCTAGTATATGAATAAAATATATAGCACATTAACAATGCGCAAACATCTCTCCCCTTATATGAGTTCCTTATATA